CCCACTCACCCACTCACCCACCCACCCATCCACTCACTCACCCACCCACTCACCACTCACCCACCCACTCACTCACCAACCCACTCACCCCCTCACCCACCCACTCACCACTCACTCACCACTCACCCTCACCCACCGTGGACATGCTGAGGATGTCTCACCTACTTCACCTGCTGCTCACCAATCACAGTGAGGGAAATAAGTATTTGATCCCCTGCTGATTTTGTACGTTTGCCCACTGACAAAGAAATGATCAGTCTATAATTTTAATGGTAGGTTTATTTGAACAGTGAGAGACAGAATAACAACACAAAAATCCAGAAAAACACACGTCAAAAATGTTATGAATTGATTGGCATTTTAATGAGGGAAATAAGTATTTGACCCCCTCTCTAAAACATGACTTAGTACTTGGTGGCAAAACCCTTGTTGGCAATCACAGAGGTCAGACGTTTCTTGTAGTTGGCCACCAGGTTTGCACACATCTCAGGAGGGATTTTGTCCCACTCCTCTTTGCAGATCTTCTCCAAGTCATTAAGGTTTCGAGGCTGACGTTTGGCAACTCGAACCTTCAGATCCCTCCACAGATTTTCCATGGGATTAAGGTCTGGAGACTGGCTAGGCCACTCCAGGACCTTAATGTGCCTCTTCTTGAGCCACTCCTTTGTTGCCTTGGCCGTGTGTTTTGGGTCATTGTCATGCTGGAATACCCATCCACGACCCATTTTCAATGCCCTGGCTGAGGGAAGGAGGTTCTCACCCAAGATTTGACGGTACATGGCCCCGTCCATCGTCCCTTTGATGCGGTGAAGTTGTCCTGTCCCCTTAGCAGAAAAAAACACCCCCAAAGCATAATGTTTCCACCTCCATGTTTGACGGTGGGGATGGTGTTCTTGGGGTCATAGGCAGCATTCCTCCTCCTCCAAACACGGCGAGTTGAGTTGATGCCAAAGAGCTCCATTTTGGTCTCATCTGACCCACAACACTTTCACCCAGTTGTCCTCTGAATCATTCAGATGTTCATTGGCAAACTTCAGACGGGCATGTATATGTGCTTTCTTGAGCAGGGGGACCTTGCGGGCGCTGCAGGATTTCAGCCCCTCACGGCGTAGTGTGTTACCAATTGTTTGCTTGGTGACTATGGTCCCAGCTGCCTTGAGATCATTGACAAGATCCTCCCGTGTAGTTCTGGGCTGATTCCTCACCGTTCTCATGATCATTGCAACTCCACGAGGTGAGATCTTGCATGGAGCCCCAGGCCGAGGGAGATTGACAGTTCTTTTGTGTTTCTTCCATTTGCGAATAATCGCACCAACTGTTGTCACCTTCTCACCAAGCTGCTTGGCAATGGTCTTGTAGCCCATTCCAGCCTTGTGTAGGTCTACAATCTTGTCCCTGACATCGTTGGAGAGCTCCTTGGTCTTGGCCATGGTGGAGAGTTTGGAATCTGATTGATTGATTGATTGCTTCTGTGGACAGGTGTCTTTTATACAGGTAACATGCTGAGATTAGGAGCACTCCCTTTAAGAGTGTGCTCCTAATCTCAGCTCGTTACCTGTATAAAAGACACCTGGGAGTCAGAAATCTTTCTGATTGAGAGGGAGTCAAATACTTATTTCCCTCATTAAAATGCAAATCAATTTATAACATTTTTGACATGCGTTTTTCCGGATTTTGTTGTTGTTATTCTGTCTCTCACTGTTCAAATAAACCTACCATTAAAATTATAGACTGATCATTTCTTTGTCAGTGGGCAAACGTACAAAATCAGCAGGGGCTCAAATACTTTTTTCCCTCACTGTATCTCTATGGGTGTCTATGTATCTCTATGGGTGTCTATGTGTCTCTATGTATCTCTATGTATCTCTATGGGTGTCTATGAGTGTCTATGTATCTCTATGGGTGTCTATGTATCTCTATGTATCTCTGTGTATCTCTATGGTTGTCTATGTATCTCTATGTGTCTCTATGGGTGTCTATGTATCTCTATGGGTGTCTATGTATCTCTATGGTTCTCTGTGTATCTCTATGAGTCTCTATGTATCTCTATGGGTGTCTATGTGTCTCTATGGGTGTCTATGTATCTCTATGAGTGTCTATGTATCTCTATGGGTGTCTATGTATCTCTATGGGTCTCTATGTATCTCTATGGGTCTCTATGTATCTCTATGTATCTCTATGGGTGTCTGTGTGTCTCTATGGGTGTCTGTGTGTCTCTATGGGTGTCTATGTGTCTCTATGGGTGTCTATGTATCTCTATGGGTGTCTATGTGTCTCTATGCGTGTCTATGTGTCTCTATGGGTGTCTATGTATCTATATGGGTGTCTATGTATCTCTATGGGTGTCTATATATCTCTATGTATCTCTATGTATCTATTGGTGTCTATATATCTCTATGAGTCTCTATGTATCTCTATGGGTGTCTATGTATCTCTATGGGTGTCTATGTATCTCTGTGAATCTCTATGAGTCTCTATGTATCTCTATGAGTCTCTATGTATCTCTATAGGTGTCTATGTATCTCTATGTATCTCTATGAGTCTCTATGTATCTCTATGGGTGTCTTTGTATCTCTATGGGTATCTGTATCTTTATGGGTGTCTGTGTGTCTCTATGGGTGTCTATGTATCTCTATGTATCTCTATAGGTGTCTATGTGTCTCTATGGGTGCCTATGTATCTATATGTATCTCTATATATCTCTATGGGTGTCTGTGTATCTCTATGGGTGTCTGTGTATCTGTATGTATCTCTATGGATCTCAATGGGTGTCTATGTATCTCTTTGGGTGTCTATGTATCTCTATGTGTATCTCTATGGGTGTCTGTGTATCTCTATGCATCTCTATGTATCTCTATGGGTGTCTATGTATCTCTATGGGTCTCTATGTATCTCTATGGGTCTCTATGTATCTCTATAGGTCTCTATGTATCTCTATGGGTCTCTGTATCTCTATAGGTCTCTATGTATCTCTATAGGTCTCTATGTATCTCTATGGGTGTCTATGTATCTCTATGGGTGTCTATGTATCTCCATGCGTCTCTATGTATCTCTATGGGTCTCTATGTATCTCTATGTATCTCTATAGGTCTCTATGTATTTTTATGTATCTCTATGGGTGTCTATGTATCTCTATGGATGTCTGCGTGTCTCTATGGGTGTCTATGTATCTATATGAGTCTCTATGTGTCTCTATGGGTGTCTATGTATCTCTATGGGTGTCTCTGTGTCTCTTTGGGTGTCTGTGTGTCTCTTTGAGTCTCTGTATCTCTATGGGTGTCTATGTATCTCTATGGATGTCTATGAGTCTCCATGTATCTCTATGTATCTCTATGGGTGTCTATGTATCTCTATGAGTCTCTATGTATCTCTATGGGTGTCTATGTATCTCTATGGATGTCTATGAGTCTCCATATATCTCTATGTATCTCTATGGGTGTCTATGTATCTCTATGGGTGTCTATGTATCTCTTTGGATGTCTGTGTATCTCTATGGGTGTCTGTGTAGCTCTATGTATCTCTATGTTCTTCTATGGGTGTCTGTGTGTCTCTGTGTGTCTCTGTGTGTACCAAGCACTGTGTGTAGGACCCACTGGAACTGGCAAGTCCCTCACGCTCTCTATGAGTCTCTATGAGTGTCTGTGTTTCTGTGTGTCTCTATGAGTGTCTTTGTGTCTCTGTGTGTACCAGGCACTGTGTGTAGGACCCACTGGAACTGGCAAGTCTCTCACGCTCTCTATGAGTCTCTATGTGTCTCTATGAGTCTCTATGTGTCTCTATGTGTCTCTATGAGTCTCTATGTATCTCTATGTGTCTCTATGAGTGTCTGTGTTTCTGTGTGTCTCTATGAGTGTCTCTATGTGTCTCTGTGTGTACCAGGCGCTGTGTGTAGGACCCACTGGAACTGGCAAGTCTCTCACGCTCTCTATGAGTCTCTATGGGTCTCTATGAGTGTCTATGTTTCTGTGTGTCTCTATGAGTGTCTCTATGTGTCTCTGTGTGTACCAGGCACTGTGTGTAGGACCCACTGGAACTGGCAAGTCCCTCACGCTCTCTATGAGTCTCTATGTGTCTCTATGAGTCTCTGTGTGTCTATGTGTCTCTATGTGTGTCTCTATGTATTTCTATGGGTCTCTATGGGTGTCTATGTATCTCTATGAGTCTCTATGTGTCTCTATGAGTGTCTGTGTTTCTGTGTGTCTCTATGAGTCTCTATGTATCTCTATGTGTCTCTATGAGTCTCTATGAGTGTCTCTATGTGTCTCTGTGTGTACCAGGCACTGTGTGTAGGACCCACTGGAACTGGCAAGTCCCTCACGCTCTCTATGAGTCTCTATGGGTCTCTATGAGTGTCTATGTTTCTGTGTGTCTCTATGAGTGTCTATTAGTCTCTGTGTGTACCAGGCACTGTGTGTAGGACCCACTGGAACTGGCAAGTCCCTCACGCTCTCTATGAGTCTCTATGGGTGTCTATGAGTCTCTATGGGTCTCTATGAGTGTCTGTGTTTCTGTGTGTCTCTATGGGTCTCTATGTGTCTCTGTGTGTACCAGGCACTGTGTGTAGGACCCACTGGAACTGGCAAGTCCCTCACGCTCTCTATGAGTCTCTATGAGTGTCTATGTTTCTGTGTGTCTCTATGAGTGTCTCTATGTGTCTCTGTGTGTACCAGGCGCTGTGTGTAGGACCCACTGGAACTGGCAAGTCCCTCACTCTCTCTATGAGTCTCTATGTGTCTCTATGAGTCTCTGTGTGTCTATGTGTCTCTATGTGTGTCTCTATGTATCTCTATGTGTGTATGTATCTCTATGTGTGTCTCTATGAGTCTCTGTGTGTACCAGGCGCTGTGTGTAGGACCCACTGGAACTGGCAAGTCCCTCACGCTCTCTATGAGTCTCTATGTGTCTCTATGAGTCTCTATGAGTCTCTGTGTGTGTCTGTGTGTCTCTGTGTGTCTCTATGTATCTCTATGAGTGTCTCTATGTGTCTCTGTGTGTACCAGGCACTGTGTGTAGGACCCACTGGCACTGGCAAGTCCCTCACTCTCTCGTCCCTGCTGCTGGCTGGGATGCCGGCCTCGTTCGTCACTCACTTTCTCAGCTGCTCGGCGCGCACCACCGCTGCACAGACACAGGAGTTTGTGGACAGCAAGATGGACAAACGGTGAGTCATCACTCCTACAGCAAGCACACAACCACAACCAGCACACTACCACCACCACCACCACCACACTACTACCACCACACTACCACCACCACACTACCACCACCACACTACCACCACCACACTACTACCACCACACTACCACCACCACCACACTACCACCACCACCACACTACCACCACCACACTACCACCACCACACTACCACCACCACACTACTACCACCACACTACCACCACCACCACACTACCACCACCACCACCACACTACCACCACCACTACTACCACCACCACCACCACCGCTGCACAGACACAGGAGTTTGTGGACAGCAAGACGGACAAACGGTGAGTCGTCACTACTACAACCAGCACACTACCACCACCACACTACCACCACCACCACACTACCACCACCACCACCACACTACCACCACCACCACCACACTACCACTACCACCACACCACCACCGCTGCACAGACACAGGAGTTTGTGGACAGCAAGACGGACAAACGGTGAGTCGGCACTCCTACAACCAGCACACTACCACCACACAACCACACTACCACCACACTACCACCACCACCACACTACTACCACCACACTACCACTACTACCACCACCACCGCTGCCCAGACACAGGAGTTTGTGGACAGCAAGACGGACAAACGGTGAGTCGCCACTCCTACAGCAAGCACACAACTACAACCACCACACTACCACCACCACACTACCACCACCACCACCACACTACTACCACCACACTACTACCACCACACTACCACCACCGCTGCCCAGACACAGGAGTTTGTGGACAGCAAGACGGACAAACGGTGAGTCATCACTACTACAGCAAGCACACAACCACACTACTACCACACTACCACTACTACCACCACACTACTACCACACTACTACCACACTACCACACTACCACCACCACCACACTACCACCACACAACCACCACACTACCACCACACAACCACCACACTACCACCACACTACCACCACACTACCACAACCACCACCACCACACTACTACCACACTACTACCACCACCACACTACCACTACCACCACACTACCACCACACAACCACAACCACCACACTACCACTACCACCACACTACCACTGCTGCCCAGACACAGGAGTTTGTGGACAGCAAGACGGACAAACGGTGAGTCGTCACGACTACAGCAAGCACACAACTACACTACCACCACCACTACCACACTACCACTACCACACTACCACCACACTACTACCACACTACCACACTACCACCACACTACTACCACACTACCACACTACCACCACACTACTACCACTACTACCACCACACTACCACCACACTACCACTACCACACTACCACCACACTACCACCACCACCACACTACCACCACACTACCACCACACTACTACCACAACCACCACCACCACTCTACCACACTACCACCACCACCACACTACCACCACCACACCACCACCACACCACCACCACACTACCACCACCACCACACCACCACACTACCACCACCACCACCACACCACCACCACCACCACACCACCACCACCACCACACCACCACCACCACACTACCACACTACCACACTACCACCACCACACTACCACCACTACCACCACACCACCACACCACCACCACAACCACTACCACCACACTACCACACTACCACCACCACACCACCACCACCACACTACCACACTACCACCACCACACTACCACCACACCACCACCACACCACCACCACAACCACTACCACCACACCACCACCACCACCACACTACCACCACCACCACCACACTACCACACTACCACTACCACACTACCACACTACCACTACCACACTACCACTACCACACCACCACCACCACCACACCACCACCACACCACCACCACAACCACTACCACCACACTACCACACTACCACCACCACACCACCACCACACCACCACCACAACCACTACCACCACACTACCACACTACCACCACCACACCACCACCACCACACTACCACACTACTACCACCACACTACCACCACCACCACACTACCACTACCACCACACTACTACCACCACACTACTACCACCACCACACCACCACCGCAGCCCAGACACAGGAGTTTGTGGACAGCAAGACGGACAAACGGTGAGTCGTCACTACTACAGCAAGCACACAACTACACTACTACCACACTACCACTACCACACTACCACCACACTACTACCACACTACCACCACACTACCACAACCACAATCACTACCACTACCACACTACCACTACCACCACACTACCACCACACTACCACCACCACCACACTACCACCACACTACCACCACCACCACCACACTACAATCACCACACTACTACCACCACACTACTACCACACTACCACCACCGCTGCCCAGACACAGGAGTTTGTGGACAGCAAGACGGACAAACGGTGAGTCGTCACTACTACAGCAAGCACACAACCACAACCAGCACACTACCACCACCACCACACAACCACCACACTACCACCACACAACCACCACACTACCACCACACTACCACCGCACTACCACTACACTACCACCACACTACCACTACCACACTACCACTACCACACTACCACACTACCACTACCACCACACTACTACCACCACACTACTACCACCACACTACCACCACACCACCACCACCACACTACTACCACACTACTACCACTACCACCACACTACTACCACTACACTACCACCACACTACTACCACCACCACACTACCACCACACTACCACCACACCACCACTACCACCACACTACCACCACACTACCACTACCACCACCACCACACTACCACTACCACCACACTACCACTACCACCACACTACCACCACCACCACCACACTACCACTACCACCACACTACCACACTACCACTACCACACTACCACCACACAACCACCACACTACCACCACACAACCACCACACTACCACCACACTACCACCGCACTACCACTACACTACCACCACACTACCACTACCCAACTACCACTACCACACTACCACACTACCACTACCACCACACTACTACCACCACACTACTACCACCACACTACCACCACACTACCACCACACCACCACCACCACACTACTACCACACTACTACCACTACCACCACACTACTACCACTACACTACCACCACACTACTACCACCACCACACTACCACCACACTACCACCACACCACCACTACCACCACACTACCACCACACTACCACCACCACCACACTACCACTACCACCACACTACCACTACCACCACACTACCACCACCACCACCACACTACCACTACCACCACACTACCACTACCACCACACTACCACCACCACCACCACACTACCACCACCACCACCACACTACCACTACCACCACACTACCAACACCACACTACCACCACCACCACCACACTACCACTACCACCACACTACTACCACTACCACCACCACACTTCCACACTACTTCCACCACACTACCACTACCACCACACTACCACACTACCACCACAACCACCACATTACCACACTACCACCACACTACCACTACCACCACCACACTACCACACTACCACTACCACCACACCACCACAACCACCACACTACCACCACACTACCACACTACCACATTACCACAACCAGCACACCACACTACCACCACACTACTACCACACTACCACTACCACCACACTACCACACTACCACTACCACCACACTACCACCACAACCACCACACTACCACCACCACACTACCACACTACCACCACACTACCACTACCACCACACTACCACCACAACACCACCACCACCACTACCACCACCACACTACCACCACCACACTACCACCACCACCACACTACCACCACCACCACACTACCACCACCACTACCACCACCACTACCACCACCACACTACCACCACCACACCACCACCACCACCACACCACCACCACCACACCACCACCACCACACCACCACCACCACACCACCACACCACCACACCACCACCACCACACCACCACCACCACCACTACCACCACACCACCACCACACCACCACCACCACCACACCACCACCACCACAACACCACCACTACCACCACACCACCACCACCACACTACCACCACCACCACCACCACCACACTACCACCACCACACTACCACACTACCACTACCACACTACACTACCACACTACCACTACCACACTACCACTACCACACTACCACTACCACACTACCATACTACCACTACCACACTACCACTACCACACTACCACACTACCACTACCACACTACCACCACCACACTACCACCACCACCACACCACCACCACCACACTACCACCACCACCACACCACCACCACACTACCACCACACTACCACCACCACCACCCTACCACTACCACCACACCACCACCACACTACCACACTACCACCACCACCACCACCACACTACCACCACCACCACACCACCACCACCACCACACTACCACCACACCACCACACTACCACCACCACACCACCACCACACTACCACCACCACCACCACACTACCACCACCACCACCACACTACCACTACCACACTACCACTACCACACTACCATACTACCACTACCACACTACCACTACCACACTACCACCACACTACAACCACCACACCACCACTACCACCACCATCACCACCACACTACCACCACACCACACTACCACCACCACCACCACACTACCACTACCACACTACCACTACCACACTACCACACTACCACTACCACACTACCACTACCACACTACCACCACACCACCACCACCACCACTACCACCACCATCACCACCACACTACCACCACACCACACTACCACCACCACCACCACACTCCCTCCTCTCCCCTCTCCCCCACAGGCGTAAGGGAGTGTTTGGCCCGCCGCTGGGCAAGCGCCTCGTGCTGTGTGTGGAGGACGTGAACTTGCCGGGCCCGGACGCCCACGGAGCCCAGCCGCCCCTGGAGCTGCTGCGGCAGCTCGTTGATCAGGGCGGGTGGTACGACGTGGCACACATCGGTGAGGACACGTGGTGATGGTGGTGGTGGTGGTGTGGTGTGACGGTGGTGATGGTGTGGCGGTGGTGGTGTGGTGGTGGTGGTGTGACGGTGGTGGTGGTGGTGGTGGGGGTGGTGGTGATGGTGGTGGTGGTGATGGTGGTGATGGTGGTACGACGTGGCACACATCGGTGAGGACACGTGACGGTGGTGGTGGTGGTGTGGTGGTGACGGTGGTGGTGGTGGTGGTGGTGACGGTGGTGGTGGTGGTGGTGACGGTGGTGGTGGTGGTGATGGTGTGGTGTGACGGTGGTGGTGATGGTGTAGCAGTGTGACGGTGGTGGTGACGGTGGTGGTGATGGTGGTGGGGGTGGTGGTGTTGGTGGTGGTGGTGATGGTGGTGGTGGTGGTGGGGGTGGTGGTGTTGGTGGTGGTGGTGATGGTGGTGGTGGTGATGGTGGTGATGGTGGTACGACGTGGCACACATCGGTGAGGACACGTGGCGGTGGTGGTGGTGGTGACGGTGGTGTGACGGTGGTGGTGTGACGGTGGTGGTGTGGTGTGACGGTGGTGGTGGTGATGGTGGTGGTGATGGTGGTGGTGATGATGGTGGTGGTGGTGATGGTGTGGTGGTGGTGATGGTGGTGACGGTGGTGACGGTGGTGGTGGTGGTGTGGTGTGACGGTGGTGGTGATGGTGGTGGTGTGACGGTGGTGATGGTGGTGTGACGGTGGTGATGGTGGTGGTGGTGACGGTGGTGGTGGTGACGGTGGTGGTGGTGGTGACGGTGGTGATGGTGGTGGTGATGGTGGTGGTGGTGACGGTGGTGGTGGTGACGGTGGTGGTGGTGACGGTGGTGGTGGTGACGGTGGTGGTGGTGACGGTGGTGGTGACGGTGGTGGTGATGGTGGTTGTGTGGTGTAGTGGTGTGGTGTGACGGTGGTGGTGTAGCGGTGTGGTGTGTGCGTGGAAAGCGTCGCCACTAGGGGGAGAGAGACAAAGGCGGCCGGGCGTGGCGCTGGTCGCCCACCCCCCTCTGTGTGTGTGGGGCCACAGCGCCCAGAGCCTTCACAGACGACGACGAAGCTTGACCTGGGGTCTGTTAGAGGCCATCTGTAGTACCACTCTAGTACCTGTTAGTACCACTCTAGTACCTGTTAGTACCACTGTAGTACCACTGTAGTACCTGTTAGTACCACTCTAGTACCTGTTAGTACCACTCTAGTACCTGTTAGTACCACTGTAGTACCACTGTAGTACCTGTTAGTACCACTCTAGTACCTGTTAGTACCACTCTAGTACCTGTTAGTACCACTGTAGTACCACTGTAGTACCTGTTAGTACCACTCTAGTACCTGTTAGTACCACTCTAGTACCTGTTAGTACCACTGTAGTACCACTGTAGTACCTGTTAGTACCACTCTAGTACCTGTTAGTACCACTCTAGTACCTGTTAGTACCACTGTAGTACCACTGTAGTACCTGTTAGTACCACTCTAGTACCACTGTAGTACCACTGTAGTACCTGGTAGTACCACTCTAGTACCACTCTAGTACCTGGTAGTACCACTCTAGTACCACTCTAGTACCTGGTAGTACCACTCTAGTACCACTCTAGTACCACTGTAGTACCTGGTAGTACCACTCTAGTACCACTCTAGTACCTGTTAGTACCACTCTAGTACCTGTTAGTACCACTGTAGTACCACTGTAGTACCTGTTAGTACCACTCTAGTACCTGTTAGTACCACTCTAGTACCTGTTAGTACCACTGTAGTACCACTGTAGTACCTGTTAGTACCACTCTAGTACCTGTTAGTACCACTCTAGTACCTGTTAGTACCACTGTAGTACCACTGTAGTACCTGTTAGTACCACTCTAGTACCACTGTAGTACCACTGTAGTACCTGGTAGTACCACTCTAGTACCACTCTAGTACCTGGTAGTACCACTCTAGTACCACTCTAGTACCTGGTAGTACCACTCTAGTACCACTCTAGTACCACTGTAGTACCTGGTAGTACCACTCTAGTACCACTCTAGTACCTGGTAGTACCACTCTAGTACCACTCTAGTACCTGGTAGTACCACTCTAGTACCACTGTAGTACCACTGTAGTACCTGTTAGTACCACTCTAGTACCACTCTAGTACCTGGTAGTACCACTCTAGTACCACTCTAGTACCTGGTAGTACCACTCTAGTACCACTGTAGTACCTGTTAGTACCACTGTAGTACCACTCTAGTACCACTCTAGTACCACTCTAGTACCTGGTAGTACCACTCTAGTACCACTCTAGTACCTGGTAGTACCACTCTAGTACCACTGTAGTACCTGTTAGTACCACTGTAGTACCACTCTAGTACCACTCTAGTACCACTGTAGACCCTGGTACTACCACTCTAGTACCACTGTAGTACCACTCTAGTACCACTCTAGTACCACTGTAGTACCACTGTAGTACCACTGTAGTACCTGTTAGTACCACTCTAGTACCTGTTAGTACCACTGTAGTACCACTGTAGTACCTGTTAGTACCACTGTAGTACCACTCTAGTACCACTCTAGTACCACTGTAGTACCTGTTAGTACCACTGTAGTACCACTGTAGTACCACTGTAGTACCTGTTAGTACCACTGTAGTACCTGGTAGTACCACTCTAGTACCACTCTAGTACCTGGTAGTACGACTATAGTACCACTGTAGTACCACTCTAGTACCACTGTAGTACCACTCTAGTACCACTGTAGTACCACTCTAGTACCACTGTAGTACCACTCTAGTACCACTGTAGTACCACTCTAGTACCACTGTAGTACCTGTTAGTACCACTGTAGTACCACTGTAGTACCTGTTAGTACCACTGTAGTACCTGGTAGTACCACTCTAGTACCACTCTAGTACCTGGTAGTACCACTATAGTACCACTGTAGTACCACTCTAGTACCACTGTAGTACCTGTTAGTACCACTGTAGTACCACTCTAGTACCACTGTAGTACCACTCTAGTACCTGTTAGTGCGACTGTAGTACCACTCTAGTACCACTCTAGTACCTGTTAGTACCACTGTAGTACCACTCTAGTACCACTCTAGTACCTGTTAGTGCGACTGTAGTACCACTCTAGTACCTGTTAGTACCACTGTAGCACCACTGTAGTACCACTCTAGTACCTGTTAGTACCACTCTAGTACCACTGTAGTACCACTCTAGTACCTGTTAGTGCCACTGTAGTACCACTCCCCTGTGTCTCCACCCTCCCTCAACGTCACACACACCACCCCCCCTCCCTCCCTCCCTCCCTCCCTCCTCCCTCCCTCTCCCCCTCTCCCTCCCTCCCTCCCCCCTCCCTCCCCCCTCCCTCCCTCCCTTCCTCCCTCCCTCCCTCCCCCTCCTCCCTCCCCCTCCTCCCTCCCTCCCTCCCCCCCTCCTCCCTCCCTCCCTCCCCCCCTCCTCCCTCCCTCCCTCTCTCCTCCCTCCTCCCTCCCTCCCTCCCTCCCCCTCCTCCCTCCCCCTCCTCCCTCCCTCCCTCCCCCCCTCCTCCCTCCCTCCCTCCCCCCCTCCTCCCTCCCTCCCTCTCTCCTCCCTCCTCCCTCCCTCCCTCCTCCCTCTCTCCCTCTCTCCCCCCTCCCTCCCTCCCTCTCCTCCCTCCTCCCTCCCCTCCCTCCCTCCCTCTCTCTCTCCCTCCTCCCTCCTCCTCCTCCCTCCCTCTCTCCCTCCCTCCCCCTCTCTCCTCCCTCCTCCCTCCTCCCTCTCTCCCTCCCTCTCTCCCTCCCTCCCCCTCCTCCCTCTCCTCCCTCCTCCCCCCCTCCTCCCTCCCTCCTCCCTCCCTCCTCCCCCTCTCCCCCCTCCCTCTCCCCCCCTCCCCCCTCCCTCCCCTCCCTCCCCCCACCCTCCCTCCCCTCCTCCCTCCCCCCAGGTGAGTTCCGTCAGCTGGTGGACACCACGGTGGTGTGTGCCATGGGCCCTCCCGGCGGGGGTCGCCACTCCGTGAGCCCACGCTTCCAGCGACACCTCCACCTCCTCGCCTTCCCGCAGCTCGGCGACGACAGCCGCGGCGCCATCTTTGGCACTATCCTGCGCAGCTGGACACGTGAGGGGGGGGGGGGGTGGTGGTGGGTGGTGGTGGTGGGGGGGCAGAGCTGAGTGAGTCTGTAGACTCTGTACTGTCTGTAGACTCTGTGCTGAGTCTATAGACTCTGTACTGTCTGTAGACTCAGTACAGAGTCTGTAGACTCTGTACTGTCTGTAGACTCTGTGCTGAGTCTGTAGACTCTGTACTGTCTGTAGACTCTGTGCTGAGTCTATAGACTCTGTACTGTCTGTAGACTCAGTACAGAGTGAGTCTATAGACTCACTCTGTATAGACTCAGTACAGAGTGAGTCTATAGACTCACTCTGTACTGTCTGTAGACTCTGTACTGTACAGAGTGAGTCTATAGTCTATAGACTCACTCTGTACTGTCTGTAGACTCTGTACTGTCTGTAGACTCAGTACAGAGTGAGTCTATAGACTCTGTACTGTCTGTAGACTCAGTACAGAGTGAGTCTATAGATTCACTCTGTACTGTCTGTAGACTCTGTACTGTCTATAGACTCAGTACAGAGTGAGTCTATAGACTCACTCTGTACTGTCTGTAGACTCTGTACTGTCTGTAGACTCAGTACAGAGTGAGTCTATAGACTCACTCTGAGTCTATAGACTCAGAGTGAGTCTATAGACTCACTCTGAGTCTATAGACTCCTCCCTCCCTCCCTCCACCTCCTCGCCTTCCCGCAGCTCGGCGACGACAGCCGCGGCGCCATCTTTGGCACTATCCTGCGCAGCTGGACACGTGAGGGGGGGGGGGGGGTGGTGGTGGTGGTTGTGGTTGTGGGGGGGCAGAGCTGAGTGAGTCTGTAGACTCTGTACTGTCTGTAGACTCAGTACTGAGTCTGTAGACTCTGTACTGTCTGTAGACTCTGTGCTGAGTCTATAGACTCTGTACTGTCTGTAGACTCAGTACAGAGTGAGTCTATAGACTCACTCTGTACTGTCTGTAGACTCTGTGCTGAGTCTATAGACTCTGTACAGAGTGAGTCTATAGACTCACTCTGTACTGTGTCTATAGACTCACTCTGTGAGTCTGTAGAGAGTGAGTCTGTAGACTCTGTACTGTCTGTAGACTCAGTACTGAGTCTATAGACTCTGTACTGTATGTAGACTCAGTACAGAGTGAGTCTATAGACTCACTCTGTATAGACTCAGTACAGAGTGAGTCTATAGACTCACTCTGTACTGTCTGTAGACTCTGTACTGTCTATAGACTCAGTACAGAGTGAGTCTATAGACTCTGTACTGTCTGTAGACTCAGTACAGAGTGAGTCTATAGACTCTGTACTGTCTGTAGACTCAGTACAGAGTGAGTCTATAGATTCACTCTGTACTGTCTGTAGACTCTGTACTGTCTATAGACTCAGTACAGAGTGAGTCTATAGACTCACTCTGTACTGTCTGTAGACTCTGTACTGTCTGTAGACTCAGTACAGAGTGAGTCTATAGACTCACTCTGTACTTGTCTGTAGACTCTGTACTGTCTGTAGACTCAGTACAGAGTGAGTCTATAGACTCACTCTGAGTCTATAGACTCACTCTGTACTTGTCTGTAGACTCTGTACTGTCTGTAGACTCAGTACAGAGTGAGTCTATAGACTCACTCTGAGTCTATAGACTCCTCCCTCCCTCCCTCCACCTCCTCGCCTTCCCGCAGCTCGGCGACGACAGCCACGGCGCCATCTTTGGCACTATCCTGCGCAGCTGGACACGTGAGGGGGGGGGGGGGGTGGTGGGCAGAGCTGAGTGAGTCTGTAGACTCTGTACTGTCTGTAGACTCTGTACAGAGTGAGTCTATAGATTCACTCTGTGAATCTGTAGACTCTGTAGACTCACTCTGTACTGAGTCTATAGACACAGTACAGAGTGAGTCTATAGACTCACTCTGTACTGTGTCTATAGACTCACTCTGTGAGTCTGTAGAGAGTGAGTCTATAGACTCAGTGAGTCTATAGACTCACTCTGTACTGTCTGTAGACTCAATACAGAGTTAGTCTATAGACTCACTCTGTACTGTCTGTAGACTCAGTACAGAGTGAGTCTATAGACAGTACAGAGTCTATAGACAGTACAGAGTGAGTCTATAGACAGTACAGAGTGAGTCTATAGACAGTACAGAGTGAGTTTATAGACAGTACAGAGTGAGTCTATAGACAGTGCAGAGTGAGTCTATAGACAGTACAGAGTGAGTCTATAGACAGTACAGAGTGAGTCTATAGACAGTACAGAGTCTTTAGACAGTACAGATTGAGTCTGTAGACAGTACAGAGTGAGTCTATAGACTCAGTACAGAGTGAGTCTATAGACAGTACAGAGTGAGTCTATAGACAGTACAGAGTGAGTCTGTAGACAGTACAGAGTGAGTCTATAGACTCACTCTGTACTGTCTGTAGACTCAGTACAGAGTGAGTCTATAGACAGTACAGAGTGAGTCTATAGACAGTACAAAGTCTATAGACAGTACAGAGTGAGTCTATAGACAGTACAGAGTGAGTCTATAGACAGTACAGAGTGAGTCTATAGATAGTACAGAGTGAGTCTATAGACAGTACAGATTGAGCCTGTAGACAGTACAGAGTAAGTCTATAGACAGTACAGAGTGAGTCTATAGACTCAGTACTGAGTGAGTCTATAGACAGTACAGAGTGAGTCTATAGACAGTACAGATTGAGTCTGTAGACAGTACAGAGTGAGTCTATAGACAGTACAGAGTGAGTCTATAGACAGTACAGAGTGAGTCTATAGACAGTACAGAGTGAGTCTATAGACAGTACAGAGTGAGTCTGTAGACAGTACAGAGTGAGTCTATAGACACAGTACAGAGTGAGTCTATAGACAGTACAGAGTGAGTCTATAGACACAGTACAGAGTGAGTCTATAGACAGTACAGAGTGAGTCTGTAGACAGTACAGAGTGAGTCTATAGACTCAGTACAGAGTGAGTCTATAGACAGTACAGAGTGAGTCTATAGACAGTACAGAGTCTATAGACAGTACAGAGTGAGTCTATAGACAGTGCAGAGTGAGTCTATAGACAGTACAGAGTGAGTCTGTAGACAGTACAGAGTGAGTCTATAGACAGTACAGAGTCTATAGACAGTACAGAGTGATTTTGATTTAAAGTTTTCGTGACTGCAGGGATTCATATTCTTGGTTCTTTCGGTAAAGTCACCACCACGTAGAAGGGAAACAATAAAATAATAAAATATAAACCAGTAAAATTATTGTAAAACAATAAAATTATTATTCTTGGTTCTTTCGGTAAAGTCACCACCACGTAGAAGGTAAACAATAAAATAATAAAAATATAAAACAATAAAATTATTATTCTTGGTTCTTTCGGTAAAGTCACCACCACGTAGAAGGGAAACAATAAAATAATAAAAATATAAAACAATAACATTATTGTAAAATAATAAAATTATTATTCTCGATTCTCTCGGTAAAGTCACCGCCACGTAGAAGGGAAACAATAAAATAATAAAAATATAAAACAATAAAATTATTGTAAAACAATAAAATTATTATTCTCGGTTCTCTCGGTAAAGTCACCGCCACGTAGATAGGGAAACAATAAAATAATAAAAAAATATAAAACAATACAATCATTATTCTCGGTTCTCTCGGTAAAGTCACCGCCACGTAGATAGGGAAACAATAAAATGATAAAAAAAATATAAAACAATAAAATTATTGTAAAACAATCAAATCGTTATTCTCGGTTCTCTCGGTGAAGTCACCGCCACGTAGACGGGGAAACAACAAAATGAAAAAAAAAAATATCAAACAATAAAATCCTTCCAATGAAACCCTTCCAATGATTGCTCAGCCGTATACAAATCCGCCTTCCCGGCTCGAATTAGCCCTCCGCGTCCGCGTCCGCGTCCGAGAACCGCCTCACCTCGGTTTCACGTTGACCGAGCCCACGGTGGGCCCTCCTCTCTCTCTCTCCTCCGCTGCCGCTCCCTGTGTCTCGCAGGGTCCGTGCCGGCCCTGCACGGCGCTTCCGAGATGCTGGTGGACTCCACGATGGCCGTGTATGCGGCCGTGTCGGCCCATCTGCTGCCCACGCCTGCCCGCTGCCACTACACCTTCAACATGCGCGACCTCTCGCGCCTCTTCCAGGGAATCCTCATGGCAGACGTCGACAGGGTGAAGGTGTGGAGGAGGGGTGGGTGGGGGAGGAGGAGGGTGGTGGTGGTGTGGTGTGTTACTGTGTGTGTTACTGTGTGTGTGTTACTGTGTGTGTGTGTCACTGTGTGTGTGTGTTACTGTGTGTGTTACTGTGTGTGTTACTGTGTGTGTGTCAGAGTGTGTGTGTGTGTGTGTCACTGTGTGTGTGTGTGTTACTGTGTGTGTTACTGTGTGTGTCACTGTGTGTGTGTCACTGTGTGTGTCACTGTGTGTGTGTGTTACTGTGTGTGTCAGAGTGTGTGTGTGTTACTGTGTGTGTGTTACTGTGTGCGTGTGTGTGTGTTACTGTGTGTGTGTTACTGTGTGTGTCACTGTGTGTGTGTGTCAGAGTGTGTGTGTGTGTGTGTCAGAGTGTGTGTGTATTACTGTGTGTGTGTCAGAGTGTGTGTCACTGTGTGTGTGTCAGAGTGTGTGTTACTGTGTGTGTGTCACTGTGTGTGTCACTGTGTGTGTGTGTCAGAGTGTGTGTGTGTGTGTGTGAGAGTGTGTGTGTGTTACTGTGTGTGTTACTGTGTGTGTGTCAGAGTGTGTGTGTGTGTGTGTGTCACTGTGTGTGTGTGTGTGTTACTGTGTGTGTGTGTGTTACTGTGTGTGTTACTGTGTGTGTTACTGTGTGTGTTACTGTGTGTGTGTCAGAGTGTGTGTGTGTGTCACTGTGTGTGTGTGTGTCAGAGTGTGTGTCAGAGTGTGTGTGTTACTGTGTGTGTTACTGTGTGTGTGTCACTGTGTGTGTGTCAGAGTGTGTGTGTTACTGTGTGTGTTACTGTGTGTGTGTGTCAGAGTGTGTGTCAGAGTGTGTGTGTTACTGTGTGTGTTACTGTGTGTGTGTGTCAGAGTGTGTGTCACTGTGTGTGTGTTACTGTGTGTGTTACTGTGTGTGTGTGTCAGAGTGTGTGTCAGAGTGTGTGTGTTACTGTGTGTGTTACTGTGTGTGTTACTGTGTGTGTGTGTCACTGTGTGTGTGTGTCACTGTGTGTGTGTGTCACTGTGTGTGTGTGTGTGTCACTGTGTGTGTGTTACTGTGTGTGTGTCTGTCACTGTGTGTGTGTCACTGTGTGTGTCACTGTGTGTCACTGTGTGTGTCAGAGTGTGTGTGTGTGTGTCACTGTGTGTGTGTGTCAGAGTGTGTGTGTTACTGTGTGTGTGTGTTACTGTGTGTGTTACTGTGTGTGTGTGTCAGAGTGTGTGTCAGAGTGTGTGTGTTACTGTGTGTGTTACTGTGTGTGTGTTACTGTGTGTGTGTCAGAGTGTGTGTGTTACTGTGTGTGTTACTGTGTGTGTGTGTCAGAGTGTGTGTCAGAGTGTGTGTGTTACTGTGTGTGTTACTGTGTGTGTGTTACTGTGTGTGTGTCAGAGTGTGTGTGTTACTGTGTGTGTTACTGTGTGTGTGTGTCAGAGTGTGTGTCAGAGTGTGTGTGTTACTGTGTGTGTTACTGTGTGTGTGTGTCAGAGTGTGTGTCAGAGTGTGTGTGTTACTGTGTGTGTTACTGTGTGTGTGTTACTGTGTGTGTGTCAGAGTGTGTGTGTTACTGTGTGTGTTACTGTGTGTGTGTGTCAGAGTGTGTGTCAGAGTGTGTGTGTTACTGTGTGTGTTACTGTGTGTGTGTGTCAGAGTGTGTGTCAGAGTGTGTGTGTTACTGTGTGTGTTACTGTGTGTGTTACTGTGTGTGTTACTGTGTGTGTGTCAGAGTGTGTGTGTGTCACTGTGTGTGTGTCACTGTGTGTGTGTTACTGTGTGTGTCACTGTGTGTGTGTCACTGTGTGTGTCACTGTGTGTGTGTGTCAGAGTGTGTGTGTGTGAGAGTGTGTGTGTGTGTGTGTTACTGTGTGTGTGTGTTACTGTGTGTGTGTTACTGTGTGTGTTACTGTGTGTGTGTCAGAGTGTGTGTGTGTGTGTCACTGTGTGTGTGTGTGTGTTACTGCTGTGTGTGGTGTGTCACTGTGTGTGTGTGTTACTGTGTGTGTCACTGTGTGTGTGTGTCACTGTGTGTGTGTCACTGTGTGTGTGTCACTGTGTGTGTGTCACTGTGTGTGTGTGTGCGTGTGTGTGTCACTGTGTGTGTGTGTGTTACTGTGTGTGTGTTACTGTGTGTGTCACTGTGTGTGTGTGTCACTGTGTGTGTGTCACTGTGTGTGTGTCACTGTGTGTGTGTGTTACTGTGTGTGTCAGAGTGTGTGTGTGTTACTGTGTGTGTGTTACTGTGTGTGTTACTGTGTGTGTTACTGTGTGTGTGTCAGAGTGTGTGTGTGTGTCACTGTGTGTGTGTGTTACTGTGTGTGTTACTGTGTGTGTTACTGTGTGTGTGTCAAAGTGTGTGTGTGTGTGTGTCACTGTGTGTGTGTGTCACTGTGTGTGTGTCACTGTGTGTGTGTTACTGTGTGTGTCACTGTGTGTGTGTCACTGTGTGTGTCACTGTGTGTGTGTGTCAGAGTGTGTGTGTGTGTGTGTGAGAGTGTGTGTGTGTGTGTTACTGTGTGTGTGTGTTACTGTGTGTGTGTTACTGTGTGTGTCACTGTGTGTGTGTGTCACTGTGTGTGTGTCACTGTGTGTGTGTCACTGTGTGTGTGTGTTACTGTGTGTGTGTGTGTTACTGTGTGTGTGTTACTGTGTGTGTCACTGTGTGTGTGTGTCACTGTGTGTGTGTCACTGTGTGTGTGTCACTGTGTGTGTGTGTTACTGTGTGTGTCAGAGTGTGTGTGTGTTACTGTGTGTGTGTGTTACTGTGTGTGTGTTACTGTGTGTGTCACTGTGTGTGTGTGTCAGAGCGTGTGTGTGTGTGTGTCAGAGTGTGTGTGTATTACTGTGTGTGTGTCAGAGTGTGTGTGTCACTGTGTGTGTCACTGTGTGTGTGTGTCAGAGTGTGTGTGTGTCAGAGTGTGTGTGTGTCACTGTGTGTCAGAGTGTGTGTGTGTGTGTCACTGTGTGTGTGTGTGTGTTACTGTGTGTGTGTTACTGTGTGTGTTACTGTGTGTGTTACTGTGTGTGTGTCAGAGTGTGTGTCACTGTGTGTGTGTGTGTTACTGTGTGTGTGTGTCACTGTGTGTGTGTGTTACTGTGTGTGTCACTGTGTGTGTGTGTGTCACTGTGTGTGTGTTACTGTGTGTGTCACTGTGTGTGTGTGTGTCACTGTGTGTGTGTGTCACTGTGTGTGTGTCACTGTGTGTGTGTGTTACTGTGTGTGTGTGTGCGTGTGTGTGTGTGTGTCACTGTGTGTGTGTTACTGTGTGTGTTACTGTGTGTGTGTTACTGTGTGTGTCACTGTGTGTGTGTGTGTGTCACTGTGTGTGTGTCACTGTGTGTGTGTCACTGTGTGTGTGTGTTACTGTGTGTGTCAGAGTGTGTGTGTGTTACTGTGTGCGTGTGTGTGTGTTACTGTGTGTGTGTTACTGTGTGTGTCACTGTGTGTGTGTGTCAGAGCATGTGTGTGTGTGTGTCAGAGTGTGTGTGTATTACTGTGTGTGTGTCAGAGTGTGTGTGTCACTGTGTGTGTCACTGTGTGTGTGTCAGAGTGTGTGTGTGTCAGAGTGTGTGTGTGTCACTGTGTGTGTCACTGTGTGTGTCTGTGTGTCACTGTGTGTGTTACTGTGTGTGTGTTACTGTGTGTGTGTTACTGTGTGTGTGTGTGTGTCACTGTGTGTGTGTGTTACTGTGTGTGTTTCACTGTGTGTGTGTGTCACTGTGTGTGTGTCACTGTGTGTGTCACTGTGTGTCACTGTGTGTGTCAGAGTGTGTGTGTGTCACTGTGTGTGTGTGTGTCACTGTGTGTGTCACTGTGTGTGTCACTGTGTGTGTCACTGTGTGTGTGTCACTGTGTGTGTCACTGTGTGTGTCACTGTGTGTGTGTCACTGTGTGTCACTGTGTGTGTGTCACTGTGTGTGTCACTGTGTGTGTGTGTCACTGTGTGTGTCACTGTGTGTGTGTCACTGTGTGTGTCACTGTGTGTGTCACTGTGTGTGTGTGTGTCACTGTGTGTGTCACTGTGTGTGTGTCACTGTGTGTGTGTTACTGTGTGTGTCACTGTGTGTGTGTGTGTTACTGTGTGTGTTACTGTGTGTGTGTGTGTCACTGTGTGTGTCACAGTGTGTGTCACTGTGTATGTGTCACTGTGTGTGTGTGTGTGTCACTGTGTGTGTGTGTCACTGTGTGTCACTGTGTGTGTCACTGTGTGTGTGTGTCACTGTGTGTGTGTGTCACTGTGTGTGTGTCACTGTGTGTGTGTCACTGTGTGTGCCACTGTGTGTGTGTGTGTCACTGTGTGTGTTTCACTGTGTGTGTGTCACTGTGTGTGTCACTGTGTGTGTGTGTGTCACTGTGTGTGTTTCACTGTGTGTGTCACTGTGTGTGTGTCACTGTGTGTGTGTGTCACTGTGTGTGTGTGTCACTGTGTGTGTCACTGTGTGTGTGTGTCACTGTGTGTGTGTCACTGTGTGTGTGTGTGTCACTGTGTGTGTGTGTCACTGTGTGTGTCACTGTGTGTGTGTGTGTCACTGTGTGTGTGTCACTGTGTGTGTGTGTCACTGTGTGTGTGTGTCGCTGTGTGTGTCACTGTGTGTGTGTGTGTCACTGTGTGTGTGTCACTGTGTGTGTGTCACTGTGTGTGTGTGTCACTGTGTGTGTATGTGTCACTGTGTGTGTGTCACTGTGTGTGTGTGTGTCACTGTGTGTGTGTGTGTCACTGTGTGTGTGTGTCACTGTGTGTGTCACTGTGTGTGTGTGTGTGTCACTGTGTGTGTGTCACTGTGTGTGTGTCACTGTGTGTGTCACTGTGTGTGTGTGTGTCACTGTGTGTGTGTCACTGTGTGTGTCACTGTGTGTGTGTGTCATTGTGTGTGTGTGTGTGTCACTGTGTGTGTGTCACTGTGTGTGTCACTGTGTGTGTGTCACTGTGTGTGTCACTGTGTGTGTGCGTGTCACTGTGTGTGTGTCACTGTGTGTGTGTCACTGTGTGTGTCACTGTGTGTGTGTCACTGTGTGTGTGTGTGTCACTGTGTCACTTTGTTTTAGAACTGCTGCTGCTTGATGCTGTGGCTGTTGTTGTGGTTGTCTTTAGTTTGTTTTCCTTTCCACGCACCTCCTTCTTCACCGTCACCACCGTCACCCCCACCACCACCACCCCCACCACCACCACCGTCACCACCACCACCCCCACCACCACCACCACCACCACCATCACCACCACCGTCACCCTCACCACCACCACCGTCACCACCATCACCGTCACCACCATCACCACCACCATCACCACTACCACCACCACCGTCACCACCACCACCATCACCACCATCACCACCACCACCGTCACCACCACCACCGTCACCACCACCATCACCACCACCACCACCACCATCACCACCACCACCACCATCACCCCCACCACCACCATCACCACCACCATCACCACCACCATCACCACCACCACCACCACCATCACCACCACCATCACCACCACCACCACCACCACCCCCAGGACGTGCCGGCTCTGCTGGGCCTGTGGCACCACGAGTGCTGTCGCGTCTTTGGTGACCGCCTGGTTTGTGACGTGGACCGCTCCTGGCTCGCCGGGCAGCTGGAGCGTCGCATCGCCGGCGACTTTGGCGTGCCGCTCCTGGCGGCCGTGCCGGGCCAGCCGCACCTCTACGGGGATTTCGCTGGGCCCGGCGGGGAGCGGAGCTACCGGCTGATGCCAGACTACCAGCGGGTACGTGGACGGACAGGCAGGCGGACGGACGGAGGCACGGGGAGAGGCACGGGGAGAGGCACGGGGAGAGACACGGAGACAGAGAGTCAGAGAGAGAGAGACAGAGAGAGACAGAGAGAGAGAGAGAGACAGAGACACAGAGAGAGAGACAGAGACAGAGAGACAGAGGTAGAGACACAGAGAGACACAGTGAGAGACAGAGAGACATACAGAGAGACAGAGACACAGAGAGACAGAGAGACAGAGACACAGAGAGACAGAGAGAGACAGACACAGAGAGACAGAGTGGTACCACAGTTGTGTACCACTCTGTGTGTACCACTCTGTGTGTCACTACTCTGTGTGTCACTACTCTGTGTTTCACTACTCTGTGTGTACACAGTGTGTACCACTCTGTGTGTACCACTCTGTGTGTACCACTCTGCGTGTACACAGTGTGTGTGTGTACCACTCTGTGTGTACCACTCTGTGTGTACCACTCTGTGTGTACACACAGTGTGTGTCACACTCTGTGTGTACACACAGTGTGTGTCACACTCTGTGTGTACACACTGTGTACACACTGTGTGTACACACTGTGTGTACACACAGTGTGTACACTCTGTGTGTACCACTCTGCGTGTACACAGTGTGTGTGTACCACTCTGTGTGTACCACTCTGTGTGTACACAGTGTGTGTACACTCTGTGTGTACCACTCTGTGTGTACCACTCTGTGTGTCACTACTCTGCTTGTACCACTCTGTGTGTACACAGTGTGTACCACTCTGTGTATACCACTCTATGTGTACACAGTGTGTGTACCACTCTGCGTGTACACAGTGTGTGTGTACCACTCTGTGTGTCACCACTCCGCGCGTCACCGCTCCGCGCGTGGGTCCGCAGGTGTTGCGGGTGATGCAGGAGGCGCTGGAGGAGTACAGCGCCTCGCGGCCGGTGCCCAGCCCGCTGGTGCTGTTTGAGGCGGCCGTGTGCCACACGTGCCGGCTGGCACGGGTCCTGCGGCAGCCCCTGGGCAGCGCCCTGCTACTGGGCGTGGGCGGCAGCGGGCGGCAGTCGCTCGCCCGCCTCGCCGCTCACCTGTACGCTCGCACGCACAGACTCACACGCACTCACACACACACACACACACGCACACACGCACAGACTCACACACACACACACAGACTCACCTTCAGACTCACACACACACGTACACACACGCACACGTACACACACACACACACGCACACACAGACTCACATTCAGACTCACACACACACAGACTCACACTCGCACAGACTCACACACACACACACGCACACAGACTCACACGCGCACACACACACACGCACACACGCACACACACACGCACACACAGACTCACCTTCAGACTCACACACAGACACACACACAGACTCACACACACACACACACACAGACTCACACACACACGCACACACACTCACACACACAGACTCACACACACGCACACAGACTCACCTTCAGACTCACACACACACAGACTCACATTCAGACTCACACACACAGACTCACACACACAGACTCACATTCAGACTCACACACACGTGCTCACACGCACACACACGCACACGCACGCACACACACAGACTCACACACACACACCCACACACACAGACTCACATTCAGACTCACACACAGACTCACATTCAGACTCACACACACACAGACTCACACACACACACCCACACACACAGACTCACATTCAGACTCACACACAGACTCACATTCAGACTCACACACACACAGACTCACACACACACACACGCACAGACTCACACACACACGCACGCACACACAGACTCACACACACACACACGCACACACGCACACACACACACACACAGACTCACCTTTAGACTCACACACAGACTCACATTCAGACTCACACACACACAGACTCACACACACAGACTCACATTCAGACTCACACACACACACACACGCACACACGCACACACACACGCACACACAGACTCACCTTCAGACTCACACACAGACTCACATTCAGACTCACACACACACAGACTCACACACACAGACTCACATTCAGACTCACACACACACAGACTCACACACACAGACTCACATTCAGACTCACACACACACAGACTCACACACACAGACTCACATTCAGACTCACACAACAACAACAACAACCGCCATTCGCCCCTAAGTGGCGGTGACGTCACCACGACGCTTGTGCCAGGCTATGTGCACCTTGAGGCCACGTGAAGTGTCTAACGCCCGCAGGCAGGAGGTCACGGGGCAGACCCAGCAGGTGCCACGGGTCGACTGACTGGGATGAGTGGCCGATGCACCACCTGTGCCCCCTACTGTGCCAGGCTAGGTGCACCAGGAGGTCACGTGGCAGACCCAGCAGGGTGCCACGGGTCGACTGACTGAGATGACCGAGATGACTGGCTGGTGCACCACCTGTGCCCCCTACTGTGCCAGGCTAGGTGCACCAGGAGGTCACGTGGCAGACCCAGCAGGTGCCACGGGTCGACTGACTGAGATGAGTGGCTGGTGCACCACCTGTGCCCCCTACTGTGCCAACCTGCTGTGCTTTAGCCACCCGGCGCTCCGCTCGTTGTTGTGAGCGTCGCTCCTCCGCCCTCCGTTGTTGTTGGAGGGCGACTGCCTCCAACTGCCCAGTAGCGTCCTTCACGAGCCTCCTCCACAGAGGCCGATCTTGACACCGCTGGTACCGGTCATCGGCAAGTCCGCTCAGCTCCACGTCCTCCTGTACCACATCACTCCATCTCTTCTCTAGCCCGTGCCGCGCCCGCTTAGCCCCCTCAATCCGGCCAAACAAAAGCTGTTTCGGCATGCGGTGGCTGGGCATGCGGGCTACATGACCCAGCCATCGCAGCCTTGCCTGCCGGAGGAGCTTACCGATGGGACTTTGTCCAGATCTCACACAATCCAGTCTGGTTAAACCCAGGATGGATCGTAGGCAGGCCAGCCTAAATGTTTTTAACCGACGAAGATGTTCCATTAGGGGGGTCCACGTTTCGCAAGCGTAGAGAAGGGAGGGAATGACCGTGGCCGAGAAGACCTGAAGCTTAGTGCGGAGCGACAGACCAGGTAGCTTCCACACAGCGTTACGCAACCGATGAAAAGATATTGCCTCTCGACTGATTCGGAGTGATACCTCTGCTGTCAAACCGGAGGTGGTCATTAGCATACTGTCCAGGTATGGGAAACTCTCCACTCTCTCCACAACTGCCCCATCACCGATTGGGAGTTGTGGGGGTGGAGTGTCCGATGGTACAAAATACCCAGGCAGGTGCTTAGTTTTGGTGGGGCTGATGGTAAGGCCCCACCTCTTAATGGCACACTCCAGGTTCAGCAGCAGCGTCTCCAACTCCTCCTCTGACTGAGCAGCAATCACCAGATCATCGGCATACATAACGTGGTTGACCAATAGGGAGCCATCCCTTGACCACACCCGGGCATCGATCAGCCTCCCATTATATCTGTACCATATGGAGATTCCCCCGGTACAGCTATTGAAGGCTTCACGAACTACGTGGTCAAAATAGATGTTAAATAATGTGGGAGCCAGAGGACATGCCTGTCGCACCCCAAGGTGAACAGGGAATGGCTCTGACTCCCGGCCACGTGGTTTTACCCGGGCCCGCTCACCATCATGAAAGTCCTTAATGATCGTGAGCAGGGGTCAGGGACTCCGAAAGCATGAAGAACAACCCAGAGCCCAGGCCTACTGATGGTATCATAGGCCTTGACCAGGTCAATAAAGCAGAGATGTAGGTCTTGTTGGAATTCCCTACACCTCTGCTGTAGCTGACGGACACACGCACATTTATACACATACACACGTACACACACGTACACACACATGTACACATGCACATGTATACACATACATACGTACATACACACACGCACACAGACATGTATACGCATACACACACACGCTTATATACACATGCACACACGCACGTGTGTAATGATGGTAATGATGATGGTAGTGATGATTATGCTGGTTCTGATGGTAGTGATGATAGTGGTGATGGTAGTGATAAGGATAGTGGTGATGGTAGTGATGGTGATGATGGTGATGGTAGTGATGATGATGGTCGTGGTGGTGATGATGTTGATGGTAGTGATGGAGATGAAGGTGATAGTAGTGATGATGATGGTCGTGGTGGTGATGGTATTGATGGTGATGATGGTGGTGATGATGGTAATGATAGTGGTGATGGTGGTGATGGTAGTGATGGTGATGATGGTAGTGGTGATCGTGGTGATCGTAGTGATGGTGATGTTGGTAGTGATGATGATGGTTGTGGTGGTGATGATGTTGATGGTAGTGATGGTGGTGGTAATGGTGGTGGTGGTGGTGATGGTACTGATGGTAGTGATGGTAGTGATGGTGATGATGGTGGTGGTGGTGATGGTAGTGATGATGATGGTCATGGTGGTGATGGTGGTGATGGTAGTGATGGTGATGATGGCGGTGATGGTGGTGATGGTAGTGATGATGATGGTCGTGGTGGTGATGATGTTGATGGTAGTGATGGTGGTGATGGTGGTGATTCAGGTGTGAGTATGAGTGCGTGCAGATTGAGCTCACCAAGCGTGATGATGATGATGATGGTAGTGATGATGATGGTCGTGGTGGTGATGATGATGATGGTAGTGATGATGGTGGTGATGGTGGTGATGGTGGTGATGGTTGTGATTCAGGTGTGAGTATGAGTGCGTGCAGATTGAGCTCACCAACCGTGATGATGATGGTGGTGATGGTAGTGATGGTGGTGATGGTGGTGATGGTGATGATGGTGGTGATGATGGTGGTGATGATGGTAGTGATGGTAGTGATGGTAGTGATGATGGTGGTGATGATGGTAGTGATGGTAGTGATGGTAGTGATGGTGGTGATGGTGATGATGATGATGGTAGTGATGATGATGGTAGTGATGGTGGTGATGGTGGTGATGATGGTAGAGATGGTGATGATGGTGGTGATGGTAGTGATGGTAGTGATGGTGGTGATGGTGGTGATGGTGGTGATGATGGTGATTCAGGTGTGAGTATGAGTGCGTGCAGATTGAGCTCACCAAGAGCTACGGGGTGTCGGAGTGGCGACAGGATCTCCAGCGCGTCATGTTAAAGGCCGGGGTGGACAATATCCACGTGGCCTTCCTGCTCACCGACACGCAGGTCAGCTCACTGTGTCAACTCACTGTGTCAACTCACTGTGTCAACTCACGTCTCACTGTGTCAACTCACTGTGTCAACTCACTGTGTCAATTCACTGTGTCAACTCACTGTGTCAACTCACTGTATCAACTCACTGTGTCAACTCACTGTGTCAACTCACTGTGTCAACTCACTGTGTCAACTCACTGTGTCAACTCACGTCTCACTGTGTCAACTCACTGTATCAACTCACTGTGTCAACTCACTGTGTCAACTCACTGTGTCAACTCACGTCTCACTGTGTCAACTCACTGTGTCAACTCACTGTGTCAACTCACTGTGTCAGCTCACTGTGTCAACTCACTGTGTCAACTCACGTCTCACTGTGTCAACTCACTGTGTCAACTCGCTGTGTCAACTCACTGTGTCAACTCACTGTGTCAACTCACTGTGTCAACTCACGTCTCACTGTGTCAACTCACTGTGTCAACTCACTGTGTCAATTCACGTCTCACTGTGTCAACTCACTGTGTTAACTCACTGTGTCAACTCACTGTGTCAACTCACTGTGTCAACTCACGTCTCACTGTGTCAACTCACTGTGTCAACTCACTGTGTCAACTCACTGTGTCAACTCACTGTGTCAGCTCACTGTGTCAACTCACTGTGTCAACTCACTGTGTCAACTCACTGTGTCAACTCACTGTGTCAACTCACGTCTCACTGTGTCAACTCACTGTGTCAACTCACTGTGTCAACTCACTGTGTCAACTCACTGTGTCAGCTCACTGTGTCAACTCACTGTGTCCACTCACTGTGTCAACTCACATCCCACTGTGTCAACTCACTGTGTCAACTCACTGTGTCAACTCACTGTGTCAACTCACTGTGTCAACTCACGTCTCACTGTGTCAACTCACTGTGTCAACTCACTGTGTCAACTCACGTCTCACTGTGTCAACTCACTGTGTCAACTCACTGTGTCAACTCACTGTGTCAACTCACTGTGTCAAACTCACGTATCACTGTGTCAACTCACTGTGTCAACTCATTGTGTCAACTCACTGTGTCACTCACTGTGTCAACTCACTGTGTCAACTCACTGTGTCAACTCACTGTGTCAATCACTCTCACTGTGTCAACTCACTGTTCAACTCACTGTGTCAACTCACTTCTCACTGTGTCAGCTCACTGTGTCAACTCACTGTGTCAACTCACTGTGTCAAACTCACGGTGTCAGTCACTGTGTCCAACTCACTGTGTCAACTCACTGTGTCAACTCACTGTGTCAACTCACTGTGTCAACTCACTGTGTCAACTCACATCTCACTGTGTCAACTCACTGTCGTCAACTCACTGTGTCAACTCACTGTGTCAACTCACTGTATCAGCTCACTTTGTCAACTCACTGTGTCAACTCACTGTGTCAACTCACTGTGTCAACTCACTGTGTCAGCTTCACTGTGTCAACTCACTGTGTCAACTCACTGTGTCAACTTCACGTCTCACTGTGTCAACTCACTGTGTCAACTCACTGTGTCAGCTCACTGTGTCAACTCACTGTGTCAACTTCACTGTGTCAACTCACTGTGTCAACTCACTGTGTCAATCACGTCTAACTGTGTCAACTCACTGTGTCAACTCATTGTGTCAACTCACTGTGTCAACTCACTGTGTCAACTCACTGTGTCAACTCACTGTGTCAACTCACTGTGTCAACTCACTTCTCACTGTGTCAACTCACTGTGTCAACTCACTGTGTCAACTCACTTCTCACTGTGTCAGCTCACTGTGTCAACTCACTGTGTCAACTCACTGTGTCAACTCACTGTGTCAGTTCACTGTGTCAACTCACTGTGTCAACTCACTGTGTCAACTCACTGTGTCAACTCACTGTGTCAACTCACTGTGTCAACTCACATCTCACTGTGTCAACTCACTGTGTCAACTCACTGTGTCAACTCACTGTGTCAACTCACTGTATCAGCTCACTTTGTCAACTCACTGTGTCAACTCACTGTGTCAACTCACTGTGTCAACTCACTGTGTCAGTTCACTGTGTCAACTCACTGTGTCAACTCACTGTGTCAACTCACGTCTCACTGTGTCAACTCACTGTGTCAACTCACTGTGTCAACTCACTGTGTCAGTTCACTGTGTCAACTCACTGTGTCAACTCACTGTGTCAACTCACGTCTCACTGTGTCAACTCACTGTGTCAACTCACTGTGTCAACTCACTGTGTCAACTCACTGTGTCAGCTCACTGTGTCAACTCACTGTGTCAACTCACTGTGTCAACTCATGTCTCACTGTGTCAACTCACTGTGTCAGCTCACTGTGTCAACTCACTATGTCAACTCACTGTGTCAACTCACTGTGTCAACTCACTGTATCAGCTCACTTTGTCAACTCACTGTGTCAACTCACTGTGTCAACTCACTGTGTCAACTCACATCTCACTGTGTCAACTCACTGTGTCAACTCACTGTGTTAACTCACTGTGTCAACTCACTGTGTCAACTTACTGTTTCAACTCACTGTGTCAACTCACCGTGTCAACTCACGTCTCACTGTGTCAGCTCACTGTGTCAACTCACTGTGTCAACTCACTGTGTCAACTCACGTCTCACTGTGTCAACTCACTGTGTCAACTCACTGTGTCAACTCACGTCTCACTGTGTCAACTCACTGTGTTAACTCACTGTGTCAACTCACTGTGTCAACTCACTGTCTCAACTCACGTATCACTGTGTCAACTCACTGTGTCAACTCACTGTGTCAACTCACTGTGTCAGCTCACTGTGTCAACTCACTGTGTCAACTCACTGTGTCAACTCACTGTGTCAACTCACTGTGTCAACTCACGTCTCACTGTGTCAACTCACTGTGTCAACTCACTGTGTCAACTCACTGTGTCAACTCACTGTGTCAGCTCACTGTGTCAACTCACTGTGTCCACTCACTGTGTCAACTCACGTTCCCACTGTGTCAACTCACTGTGTCAACTCACTGTGTCAACTCACTGTGTCAACTCACGTCTCACTGTGTCAACTCACTGTGTCAATTCACCGTGTCAACTCACTGTGTCAACTCACTGTGTCAACTCACTGTGTCAACTCACATCTCACTGTGTCAACTCACTGTGTCAACTCACTGTGTCAACTCACTGTGTCAACTCACGTCTCACTGTGTCAACTCACTGTGTCAACTCACTGTGTCAACTCACTGTGTCAGCTCACTGTGTCTGCTCACTGTGTCAACTCACTGTGTCAACTCACTGTGTCAACTCACTGTGTCAACTCACTGTGTCAACTCATGTCTCACTGTGTCAACTCACTCTGTCAACTCACTGTGTCAACTCACTGTGTCATCTCTCTGTGTCAACTCACTGTGTCAACTCACTGTGTCAACTCACTGTGTCAACTCACGTCTCACTGTGTCAACTCACTGTGTCAACTCACTGTGTCAACTCACTGTGTCAACTCACGTCCCACTGTGTCAACTCACTGTGTCAACTCACTGTGTCAACTCACTGTGTCAACTCACGTCTCACTGTGTCAACTCACTGTGTCAACTCACTGTGTCAACTCACTGTGTCATCTCACTGTGTCAACTCACTGTCAACTCACTGTGTCAACTCACTGTGTCAACTCACTGTGTCAACTCACTGTCAACTCACTGTGTCAACTCACTGTGTCAACTCACTGTGTCAGCTCACTGTGTCAACTCACTGTGTCAGCTCACTGTGTCAACTCACTGTGTCAACTCACTGTGTTAACTCACTGTGTCAACTCACTGTATCAACTCACTGTGTCAGGTCACTCTGTCAACTCACTGTGTCAACTCACTGTGTCAACTCACTGTATCAACTCACGTCTCACTGTGTCAACTCACTGTGTCAACTCACTGTGTCAACTCACTGTGTCAACTCACTGTGTTAGCTCACTGTGTCAACTCACTGTGTCCACTCACGTCTCACTGTGTCAACTCACTGTGTCAACTCACGTCTCACTGTGTCAACTCACTGTGTCAACTCACTGTGTCAACTCACTGTGTCAACTCACTGTGTCATCTCACTGTGTCAACTCACTGTGTCAACTCACTGTGTCAACTCACTGTGTCAACTCACTGTGTCAGCTCACTGTGTCAACTCACTGTGTCAACTCACTGTGTCAACTCACTGTGTCAACTCACTGTGTCAGCTCACTGTGTCAACTCACATCTCACTGTGTCAACTCACTGTGTCAACTCACTGTGTCAACTCACTGTGTCAACTCACGTCTCACTGTGTCAACTCACTGTGTGAGCTCACTGTGTCAACTCACTGTGTCAACTCACTGTGTCAACTCACTGTGTCAACTCACGTCTCACTGTGTCAACTCACTGTGTCAACTCACTGTGTCAACTCACTGTGTCAACTCACTGTGTCAGCTCACTATGTCAACTCACTGTGTCAACTCACTGTGTCAGCTCACTGTGTTAGCTCACTGTGTCAACTCACTGTGTCAACTCACTGTGTCAACTCACTGTGTCAACTCACTGTGTCACTGTGTCAACTAACTGTGTCAACTCACTGTGTCAACTCACTGTGTCAACTCACTGTGTCAACTCACGTCTCACTGTGTCAACTCACTGTGTCAACTCACTGTGTCAACTCACTGTGTCAACTCACTTCTCACTGTGTCAACTCACTGTGTCAACTCACTGTGTCATCTCACTGTGTCATCTCACTGTGTCAACTCACTGTGTCAACTCACGTCTCACTGTGTCAACTCACTGTGTCAGCTCACTGTGTCAACTCACTGTGTCAACTCACTGTGTCAGCTCACTGTGTCAACTCACTGTGTCAACTCACTTTGTCATCTCACTGTGTCAACTCACTGTGTCAACTCACTGTGTCACTGTGTCAACTCACTGTGTCAACTCACGTCTCACTGTGTCAACTCACTGTGTCAACTCACTGTGTCAACTCACTGTATCATCTCACTGTGTCAACTCACTGTGTCAACTCACTGTGTCATCTCACTGTGTCAACTCACTGTGTCAACTCACTGTGTCAACTCACTGTGTCATCTCACTGTGTCAACTCATTGTGTCAACTCACTGTGTCAACTCACTGTGTCAACTCACTGTGTCAGCTCACTGTGTCAACTCACTGTGTCAACTCACTGTGTCAACTCACTATATCAACTCACTGTGTCAACTCACTGTGTCAGCTCACTGTGTCAACTCACTGTGTCAACTCACTGTGTCAACTCACTGTGTCAACTCACGTCTCACTGTGTCAACTCACTGTGTCAACTCACTGTGTCAACTCACTGTGTCAACTCACGTCCCACTGTGTCAACTCATTGTGTCAACTCACTGTGTCAACTCACTGTGTCAACTCAGTGTCAACTCACGTCCCACTGTGTCAACTCATTGTGTCAACTCACTGTGTCAACTCACTGTGTCAACTCACTGTGTCACTGTGTCAACTCACTGTGTCAACTCACGTCTCACTGTGTCAGCTCACTGTGTCAACTCACTGTGTCAACTCACTGTGTCAACTCACTGTGTCAACTCACTGTGTAAACTCACTGTGTCAACTCACTGTGTCAACTCACTGTGTCAGCTCACTGTGTCAACTCACTGTGTCAACTCACTGTGTCAACTCACTGTGTCATCTCTCTGTGTCAACTCACTGTGTCATCTCACTGTGTCAACTCACTGTGTCAACTCACTGTGTCAACTCACGTCTCACTGTGTCAACTCACTGTGTCAACTCACTGTGTCAACTCACTGTGTCACTCACGTCTCACTGTGTCAACTCACTGTGTCAATTCACTGTGTCAACTCACTGTATCAACTCACGTCTCACTGTGTCAACTCACTGTGTCAACTCACTGTGTCAACTCACTGTGTCAGCTCACTGTGTCAACTCACTGTGTCAGCTCACTGTGTCAACTCACTGTGTCAACTCACTTCTCACTGTGTCAACTCACTGTGTCAACTCACTGTGTCAACTCACTTCTCACTGTGTCAGCTCACTGTGTCAACTCACTGTGTCAACTCACTTCTCACTGTGTCAACTCACTGTGTCAACTCACTGTGTCATCTCACTGTGTCATCTCACTGTGTCAACTCACTGTGTCAACTCACGTCTCACTGTGTCAACTCACTGTGTCAGCTCACTGTGTCAACTCACTGTGTCAACTCACTGTGTCAACTCACTGTGTCAGCTCACTGTGTCAACTCACTGTGTCAACTCACTGTGTCATCTCACTGTGTCAACTCACTGTGTCAACTCACTGTGTCACTGTGTCAACTCACTGTGTCAACTCACGTCTCACTGTGTCAACTCACTGTGTCAACTCACTGTGTCAACTCACTGTATCATCTCACTGTGTCAACTCACTGTGTCAGCTCACTGTGTCAACTCACTGTGTCAACTCACTGTGTCATCTCACTGTGTCAACTCACTGTGTCAACTCACTGTGTCAACTCACTGTGTCATCTCACTGTGTCAACTCATTGTGTCAACTCACTGTGTCAACTCACTGTGTCAACTCACTGTGTCAACTCACTGTGTCAACTCACTGTGTCAGCTCACTGTGTCAACTCACTGTGTCAACTCACTGTGTCAACTCACTGTATCAACTCACTGTGTCAACTCACTGTGTCAGCTCACTGTGTCAACTCACTGTGTCAACTCACTGTGTCAACTCACTGTGTCAACTCACGTCTCACTGTGTCAACTCACTGTGTCAACTCACTGTGTCAACTCACTGTGTCAACTCACTGTGTCAACTCACTGTGTCACTGTGTCAACTCACTGTGTCACGAGCGAGTCGTTCCTGGAGGACGTGAACAGTTTGCTGTTGTGATGACAGTGATGACAGTGATGATGACGATGACGATGATGACAGTGACGATGATGACAATGATAACGATCCCACCGCTGCTGTAGATCACGAGCGAGTCGTTCCTGGAGGACGTGAACAGTTTGCTGTTGTGATGACAGTGATGACAGTGATGATGATAGTGATGACAGTGACAATGATAACGATCCTACCGCCGCTGTAGATCACGAGCGAGTCGTTCCTGGAGGACGTGAACAGTTTGCTGTTGTGATGACAGTGATGATGACAGTGATGACAGTGATGATGACAGTGACAATGATAACGATCCCACCGCCGCTGTAGATCACGAGCGAGTCGTTCCTGGAGGACGTGAACAGTTTGCTGTTGTGATGACAGTGATGATGACAGTGATGACAGTGATGATGACAGTGACAATGATAACGATCCCACCGCCGCTGTAGATCACGAGCGAGTCGTTCCTGGAGGACGTGAACAGTTTGCTGTTGTGATGACAGTGACGATGACAGTGATGATGACAGTGATGATGACAGTGATGATGACAGTGATGATGTCAGTGATAACAGTGATGACAGTGACAATGATAACGATCCCACCGCTGCTGTAGATCACGAGCGAGTCGTTCCTGGAGGACGTGAACAGTTTGCTGAACTCGGGCGACGTGCCGGGAGCCCTGGGCGTCGAGGAGACGGACTCCGTGCTGTCGGCCATGCGGCCGCTGGTGCTGCACCAGGGCCTGGTGCCCAGCAAGTCGAACCTCCTGGCCACCTTCGCCCGGCGGGTTCGCTGCAACCTGCACATCGTCCTGTGCATGAGGTGCGTGTGTGGACGTGTGTGTGTGTGTGTCACTGTGTGTGTGTGTGACTGTGTGTGTGTCACCGTGTGTGTGTGACTGTGTGTGTGTGTGTCACTGTGTGTGTGTGTGTCACTGTGTGTGTGTGTGTGTCACTGTGTGTGTGTGTGTGTCACCGTGTGTGTGTGTGACTGTGTGTGTGTGTGTGACTGTGTGTGTGTGTTACTGTGTGTGTGTGTCACTGTGTGTGTGTCACTGTGTGTGTGTCACTGTGTGTGTGTCACTGTGTGTGTGTGTGTGGACGTGTGTGTGTGTGTGTCACTGTGTGTGTGCGTTACTGTGTGTGTCACTGTGTGTGTGTGTCACTGTGTGTGTGTGTTACTGTGTGTGTGTTACTGTGTGTGTCACTGTGTGTGTGTGTGTCACTGTGTGTGTGTGTCACTGTGTGTGTCACTGTGTGTGTGTGTGTGTCACTGTGTGTGTCACTGTGTGTGTGTCACTGTGTGTGTGTGTGTCACCGTGTGTGTGTGTGTGACTGTGTGTGTGTGTGTCACTGTGTGTGTGTGTGTGTGTCACTGTGTGTGTGTGTCACTGTGTGTGTGTGTGTCACTGTGTGTGTGTGTCACTGTGTGTGTATGTGTGTCACTGTGTGTGTGTCACTGTGTGTGTGTGTCACTGTGTGTGTGTGTCACTGTGTGTGTGTCACTGTTTGTGTGTCACTGTGTGTGTCACTGTGTGTGTGTCACTGTGTGTGTCACTGTGTGTGTGTGTGTGTCACTGTGTGTGTGTGTCACCGTGTGTGTGTCACTGTGTGTGTGTCACTGTGTGTGTCACTGTGTGTGTGTTACTGTGTGTGTGTCACTGTGTGTGTGTCACTGTGTGTGTGTGTCACTGTGTGTGTGTGTCACTGTGTGTGTGTCACTGTGTGTGTCACTGTGTGTGTGTCACTGTGTGTGTGTGTGTGTCACTGTGTGTGTGTCACTGTGTGTGTGTGTGTGACTGTGTGTGTCACTGTGTGTGTGTGTTACTGTGTGTTTGTGTCACTGTGTGTGTGTCACTGTGTGTGTGTCACTGTGTGTGTGTGTGTCACTGTGTGTGTGTGTCACTGTGTGTGTGTGTCACTGTGTGTGTGTGTTACTGTGTGTGTGTCACTGTGTGTGTGTCACTGTGTGTGTGTGTGACTGTGTGTGTCACTGTGTGTGTCACTAAGTGTGTGTGTCACTGTGTGTGTGTGTGTCACCGTGTGTGTGTGTCACTGTGTGTGTGTCACTGTGTGTGTGTGTGTCACTGTGTGTGTGTGTGGCACTGTGTGTGTGTCACTGTGTGTGTGTCACTGTGTGTGTCACTGTGTGTGTGTCACTGTGTGTGTCACTGTGTGTGTGTCACTGTGTGTGTCACTGTGTGTGTCACTGTGTGTGTGTGTGACTGTGTGTGTGTCACTGTGTGTGTGTGTCACTGTGTGTGTGTCACTGTGTGTGTGTCACTTTGTGTGTGTGTGTGTCACCGTGTGTGTGTGTGTGTCACCGTGTGTGTGTGTGCGTGTGTGTGTCACTGTGTGTGTGTGTGGACGTGTGTGTGTGTTACTGTGTGTGTGTCACTGTGTGTGTCACTGTGTGTGTCACTGTGTGTGTCACTGTGTGTGTGTACGTGACTGTGTGTGTCACTGTGTGTGTGTGTGTGTACGTGTGTGTCACCGTGTGTGTCACCGTGTGTGTACGTCACTGTGTGTGTCACTGTGTGTGTGCGTGTGTGACTGTGTGTGTCACCGTGTGTGTCACCGTGCGTGTGTGTACGTGTGTCACCGTGTGTGTACGTGTGTCACTGTGTGTGTCACCGTGTGTGTGTGTGCGTGTGTGTGTACGTGTGTGTCACTGTGTGTGTGTCACTGTGTGTGTGTCACTGTGTGTGTACGTGTGTGTGTGTCACCGTGTGTCACCTTGTGTGTGTGTACGTGTGTGTGCGTGTGTGCGTGCGCGCGTGTCACTGTGTGTGTGTACGTGTCTGTGTGTGCGTGTGTCACTGTGTGTGCGTTTGTGTGTCACTGTGTGTGTACGTGTGTGTGTGTACGTGTGTGTCACTGTGTGTGTACGTGTGTGTGCGTCACCGTGTGTGTACGTGTGTGTGTACGTGTGTGTGTATGTGTGTGTGTCACTCTGTGTGTACGTGTGTGTGTGTCACTGTGTGTGTACGTGTGTGTGTCACCGTGTGTGTACGTGTGTGTGTGTGTACGTGTGTGTGTGTCACTGTGTGTGTGTGTCACTGTGTGTGTGTGTCACCGTGTGTGTGTGTGTCACTGTGTGTGTACGTGTGTCACCGTGTGTGTACGTGTGTCACCGTGTGTGTACGTGTGTGTGTGTGTGTACGTGTGTGTGTGTCACTGTGTGTGTGTGTCACTGTGTGTGTGTGTCACTGTGTGTGTACGTGTGTGTGCGTCACTGTGTGTGTGTGTGACTGTGTGTGTGTCACCGTGTGTGTGTGACTGTGTGTGTGTGTGTCACTGTGTGTGTGTGTGTGTCACTGTGTGTGTGTGTCACTGTGTGTGTGTGTCACTGTGTGTGTGTGTCACTGTGTGTGTGTCACTGTGTGTGTGTCACTGTGTGTGTCACTGTGTGTGTGTGTGGACGTGTGTGTGTGTGTCACTGTGTGTGTGCGTTACTGTGTGTGTCACTGTGTCTGTGTGTCACTGTGTGTGTGTGTTACTGTGTGTGTGTTACTGTGTGTGTCACTGTGTGTGTGTGTGTCACTGTGTGTGTGTCACTGTGTGTGTCACTGTGTGTGTGTGTCACTGTGTGTGTCACTGTGTGTGTGTCACTGTGTGTGTGTGTGTGTCACTGTGTGTGTACGTGTGTGTGTGTACGTGTGTGTCACTGTGTGTGTACGTGTGTGTGCGTCACTGTGTGTGTGTGTGTGTGACTGTGTGTGTGTCACCGTGTGTGTGTGACTGTGTGTGTGTGTGTCACTGTGTGTGTGTGTGTGTCACTGTGTGTGTGTGTGTGTCACTGTGTGTGTGTGTCACTGTGTGTGTGTGTCACTGTGTGTGTGTCACTGTGTGTGTGTCACTGTGTGTGTGTCACTGTGTGTGTCACTGTGTGTGTGTGTGGACGTGTGTGTGTGTGTGTCACTGTGTGTGTGCGTTACTGTGTGTGTCACTGTGTCTGTGTGTCACTGTGTGTGTGTGTTACTGTGTGTGTGTTACTGTGTGTGTCACTGTGTGTGTGTGTGTCACTGTGTGTGTGTCACTGTGTGTGTCACTGTGTGTGTGTGTCACTGTGTGTGTCACTGTGTGTGTGTCACTGTGTGTGTGTGTGTGTCACCGTGTGTGTGTGTGTGACTGTGTGTGTGTGTGTCACTGTGTGTGTGTGTGTGTCACTGTGTGTGTGTGTCACTGTGTGTGTGTCACTGTGTGTGTGTCACTGTGTGTGTGTCACTGTGTGTGTGTCACTGTGTGTCACTGTGTGTGTGTCACTGTGTGTGTGTGTCACTGTTTGTGTGTCACTGTGTGTGTCACTGTGTGTGTGTCACTGTGTGTGTCACTGTGTGTGTGTGTGTCACCGTGTGTGTGCGAGCGGAGCGCCGGGTGGCTAAAGCACAGCAGGTTGGCACAGTAGGGGGCACAGGTGGTGCATCAGCCAGTCATCTCAGTCAGTCGACCCGTGGCACCTGGGTCTGCCCCATGACCACCTGCCAGCGGGCGTTCGACACTTCACGTGGCCTCAGGGTGCACATAGCCTGGCACAAGCGTCGTGGTGACGTCACCGCCACTTAGTGGCGAATGGCGGTTGTTGTTGTTGTGTGTTACTGTGTGTGTGTCACTGTGTGTGTGTCACTGTGTGTGTGTGACTGTGTGTGTGTGTCACTGTGTGTGTCACTATGTGTGTGTGTCACTGTGTGTGTGTCACTGTGTGTGTGTCACTGTGTGTGTGTGTGTGTGTCACTGTGTGTGTGTGTCACTGTGTGTGTGTGTCACTGTGTGTGTGTGTTAAGAGGTGGGGCCTTACCATCAGCCCCACCAAAACTAAGCACCTGCCTGGGTATTTTGTACCATCGGACACTCCACCCCCACAACTCCCAATCGGTGATGGGGCAGTTGTGGAGAGAGTGGAGAGTTTCCCATACCTGGGCAGTGTGCTTATGACTGGCTCCAGTTTAACAGCAGAGGTCTCACTCCGAATCAGTCGAGCGGCAATATCTTTTCATCGGTTGCGTAACACTGTGTGGAAGCTACCTGGTCTGTCGCTCCGCACTAAGCTTCAGGTCTTCTCGGCCACGGTCATTCCCTCCCTTCTCTACGCTTGCGAAACGTGGACCCCCCTAATGGAACATCTTCGCCGGTTAGAAACATTTAGGCTGGCCTGCCTACGATCCATCCTGGGTTTAACCAGACTGGATTGTGTGAGGAGCTCACAAATCCTTGAAAGATCTGGGCAGGGTCCCATCGGTGAGCTCCTCCGGCAGGCAAGGCTGCGATGGCTGGGTCATGTAGCCCGCATGCCCAGCCAACGCATGCCGAAACAGCTTTTGTTTGGCCGGATTGAGGGGGCTAAGCAGGCGCGGCACGGGCTAGAGAAGAGATGGAGTGATGTGGTACAGGAGGACGTGGAGCTGAGTGGACTTGCCGATGACTGGTACCAGCGGTGTCAAGATCGGCCTCTGTGGAGGAGGCTCGTGAAGGATGCTACTGGGCAGTTGGAGGCAGTCGCCCTCCAACAACAACGGAGGGCGGAGGAGCGACGCTCACAACAGCGAGCGGAGCGCCGGGTGGCTAAAGCACAGCAGGTTGGCACAGTAGGGGGCACAGGTGGTGCATCAGCCAGTCATCTCAGTCAGTCGACCCGTGGCACCTGGGTCTGCCCCGTGACCTCCTGCCAGCGGGCGTTCGACACTTCACGTGGCCTCAGGGTGCACATAGCCTGGCACAAGCGTCGTGGTGACGTCACCGCCACTTAGTGGCGAATGGCGGTTGTTGTTGTTGTGTGTTACTGTGTGTGTGTCACTGTGTGTGTGTCACTGTGTGTGTGTGACTGTGTGTGTGTGTCACTGTGTGTGTCACTATGTGTGTGTGTCACTGTGTGTGTGTCACCGTGTGTGTGTGTCACTGTGTGTGTGTCACTGTGTGTGTGTGTGTCACTGTGTGTGTGTGTGGCACTGTGTGTGTGTGTCACTGTGTGTGTCACTGTGTGTGTCACTGTGTGTGTGTCACTGTGTGTGTCACTGTGTGTGTGTCACTGTGTGTGTCACTGTGTGTGTCACTGTGTGTGTGTGTGACTGTGTGTGTGTGTGTCACTGTGTGTGTGTGTCACTGTGTGTGTGTGTCACTGTGTGTGTGTCACTTTGTGTGTGTGTCACCGTGTGTGTGTGTGTGTCACCGTGTGTGTGTGTGCGTGTGTGTGTCACTGTGTGTGTGGACGTGTGTGTGTGTGTTACTGTGTGTGTGTCACTGTGTGTGTCACCGTGTGTGTCACCGTGTGTGTCACCGTGTGTGTCACTGTGTGTGTGTTACTGTGTGTGTGTCACTGTGTGTGTGTGACTGTGTGTGTGTGTGCGTGTGTGTGTGTGTGTACGTGTGTGTCACTGTGTGTGTGTCACTGTGTGTGTCACTGTGTGTGTCACCGTGTGTGTCACTGTGTGTGTCACTGTGTGTGTGTACGTGACTGTGTGTGTCACTGTGTGTGTGTGTGTACGTGTGTGTCACCGTGTGTGTCACCGTGTGTGTACGTCACTGTGTGTGTCACTGTGTGTGTGCGTGTGTGACTGTGTGTGTCACCGTGTGTGTCACCGTGCGTGTGTGTACGTGTGTCACCGTGTGTGTACGTGTGTCACTGTGTGTGTCACCGTGTGTGTGTGTGCGTGTGTGTGTACGTGTGTGTCACTGTGTGTGTGTCACCGTGTGTGTGTCACTGTGTGTGTACGTGTGTGTGTGTCACCGTGTGTCACCTTGTGTGTGTGTACGTGTGTGTGCGTGTGTGCGTGCGCGCGTGTCACTGTGTGTGTGTACGTGTCTGTGTGTGCGTGTGTCACTGTGTGTGCGTTTGTGTGTGTACGTGTGTGTCTGTGTGTGCGTGTGTGTCTGTGTGTGCGTGTGTCACTGTGTGTGCGTTTGTGTGTGTACGTGTGTGTGTGTACGTGTGTGTCACTGTGTGTGTACGTGTGTGTGCGTCACCGTGTGTGTACGTGTGTGTGTACGTGTGTGTGTATGTGTGTGTGTCACTCTGTGTGTACGTGTGTGTGTGTCACTGTGTGTGTACGTGTGTGTGTCACCGTTTGTGTACGTGTGTGTGTGTGTACGTGTGTGTGTGTCACTGTGTGTGTGTGTCACTGTGTGTGTGTGTCACCGTGTGTGTGTGTGTGTGTCACTGTGTGTGTACGTGTGTCACCGTGTGTGTACGTGTGTCACCGTGTGTGTACGTGTGTGTGTGTGTGTACGTGTGTATGTGTGTGTGTGTGTATGTGTGTGTGTAAGTGTGTGTGTGTGGTGTGTGTGAGTGTGTGTGTGGTGTGTGTAACGGTTAGCGCTACGCTGCGCTATGAACCTGGCGACCCGGGTTCGATTCCCGCTCACGGCCAACACCAACAGTGAAGATTATCTGAACCGGTCCCGGGCCTCCGCTAGGTCGACCCAGCCTCAAATGAGTACCTGGTGTGGTGTGTAAACATCGCCACTAGGGAGACAAAGGCGGTCGGGCGTGGTGCTGGCCACCCACCCCCTCGTGTACCGTTCCGGCCTTCATAGGTGCTCGCTAACAGCTCTTGCCCCTACAGTCTGTTAAGGCTATATGGGGGATCTTTGTCTGTACTCCGGTGGTGGGTGTACACCCGGGACCCCATTCAAACCCTTAGTGGCCTGGTCTCAGCTCGCTGATGAAAGTTGCCAGCGAGAATTTCATCATCGCTTGCGGCTGGGGTTGGCATCGTCCCCCACTCCTCCTGATGTCGAGGGTAAATGGGCGAGGTTTAGGACTGTGACTCATGCAGCTGCAATGTCTGTTTTGGGTACGCGGTCCAGACCTCTCCAGAGAACCTGGTTGACAGAGGAGGTGTTCAGGATGGTTGAGAAAAAGCGACAGGCCCACTGTCATCGGCTACAGAATCCCACGTCAGAGAATGAGGAGGCTTACCGCAGCCTTCGCTCGGAGGTTCGGAGAGCCGTGAGGCGCTGCAAGGATGGGTGGTGGTCGCGGGTTGCTGAGGAGATGGAGTCTGCCTCAGTGGCCCGTGATCACAAATCTCTATTTAACTCCATCAAAAAAGTAACCTGCAGCGCCACACCTATTACCATCATTAGGGGAAAAAACGGTGATCCAATCTCCGACCCCCAGGAACAGGTTTGCAGATTTGTTGAGCATTTCTGTGAGATCCTGGGGGAGGGAAAATCCCTCGGCCAGGAAAACATCGTGGCACGAAGTGAGGATGACCCTGCTGAGGCTGCGGTGCCTCAAATATTGGAAGAAGTCACCCCCTGTGAGTGGCTGGCTGAGGTGCCATCTGTTGAGAAAGTACTGAAGGCGATCCGGAGTCTGAGACCAGGAAAGGCAGCGGGCAGAGATGATCTCCCAAGCGAAATGCTGAGGGAGGGTGGCGTTTGTGCACAGACTGCCCTATATGACATCATAACAACAGTCTGGACCACTGGACAGGTTCCACAGGATTGGAAGGATGCCCTGGTGGTCCCCCTCTTTAAGAAGGGGGACCGCACAGACTGTAACAACTACAGGGGCATCTCACTCCTCAGTGTGCCGGGAAAGGTCCTGGCAAGGATTATTCAACATCGCCTTGCCAGGCACACTGAGGAGAGGCTTGCGGAGCCCCAATGCAGTTTCAGGAAAGGGCGGTCCTGCACTGATGCCATATTTTCTGTCCGTCTGCTACAGCAGAAGTGTAGGGAATTCTAGCAAGGCCTACATCTCTTCTTTATTGACCTGGTCAAGGCCTATGATACCATCAGTAGGCCTGGGCTCTGGGTTGTTCTTCATGCTTTTGGAGTACCTGACCCTCTGCTCACGATCATTAAGGACCTTCATGATGGTGAGCGGGCCCGGGTAAAACTACGTGGCCGGGAGTCGGAGCCATTCCCTGTACACATTGGGGTGCGACAGGGATGTCCTCTGGCTCCCACATTATTTAACATCTATTTTGACCACGTTGTTCGTGAAGCCTTCAACAGCTGTACCGGGGGAATCTCCATATGGTACAGATACAATGGGAGGCTGATCGATGCCCGGGTGCGGTCAAGGGATGGCTCCCTATTGCTCAACCACGTTATGTATGCCGATGATTTGGTAATAGCTGCTCATTTAGAGGAGGAGTTGGAGACGCTGCTGCTGAGACTGGAGCGTGCTACTAAGAGATGGGGCCTTACCATCAGCCCCACCAAAACTAAGCACCTGCCTGGGTATTTTGTACCATCGGACACTCCACCCCCACAACTCCCAATCGGTGATGGGGCAGTTGTGGAGAGAGTGGAGAGTTTCCCATACCTGGGCAGTGTGCTTATGACCGGCTCCAGTTAAACAGCAGAGGTCTCACTCCGAATCAGTCGAGCGGCAATATCTTTTCATCGGTTGCGTAACGCTGTGTGGAAGCTACCTGGTCTGTCGCTCCGCACTAAGCTTCAGGTCTTCTCGGCCACGGTCATTCCCTCCCTTCTCTACGCTTGCGAAACGTGGACCCCCCTAATGGAACATCTTCACCGGTTAGAAACATTTAGGCTGGCCTGCCTACGATCCATCCTGGGTTTAACCAGGCTGGATTGTGTGAGGAGCTCACAAATCCTTGATAGATCTGGGCACGGTCCCATCGGTGAGCTCCTCCGGCAGGCAAGGCTGCGATGGCTGGGTCATGTTGCCCGCATGCCCAGCCACCGCATGCCGAAACAGCTTTTGTTCGGCCGGATCGAGGGGGCTAAACGGGCGCGGCACGGGCTAGAGAAGAGATGGAGTGATGTGGTACAGGAGGACGTGGAGCTGAGTGGACTTGCCGATGACCGGTACCAGCGGTGTCAAGATCGGCCTCTGTGGAGGAGGCTCGTGAAGGATGCTACTCGGCAGTTGGAGGCAGTCGCCCTCCAACAACAACGGAGGGCGGAGGAGCGACGCTCAGAACGACGAGCGGAGCGCCGGGTGGCTAAAGCACAGCAGGTTGGCACAGTAGGGGGCACAGGTGGTACATCAGCCAGTCATCTCAGTCAGTCGACCCGTGGCACCTGGGTCTGCCCCGTGACCTCCTGCCAGCGGGCGTTCGACACTTCACGTGGCCTCAAGGTGCACATAGCCTGGCACAAGCGTTGTGGTGACGTCACCGCCACTTAGTGGCGAATGGCGGTTGTTGTTATTGTGTGTGTACGTGTGTGTGTACGTGTGCGTGTGTGTACGTGCGTGTGTGCGTGTGTGTGTGTACGTGTGTGTACGTGTGTACGTGTGTGTGCGTGTGTACGCGTGTGTGTACGTGTGTGTGTGTGTGTACGTGTGTGTGTGTGTGTGCGTGTGTGTGTGTACGCGTTTGTACGTGTGTGTACGCGTGTGTACGCGTGTGTGTGTACGTGTGTGTGTACGTATGTGTGTACGTGTGTGTGTACGTGTGTGTGTGTGTACGTGTGTGTGTACGTGTGTGTGCGTGTACGTGTGTACCTGTGTGTGTGTACGTGTGTGTACGCGTGTGTGTGTACGTGTGTGTGTGTGTGTGAGGGTGCCACGGTGGGTGACCTGTGACCCGTGACCCGTGACCCGTGACCCCGTGTGCACCAGCCCCATGGGCGAGGCGTTCCGTGCCCGGCTCCGCCGCTTCCCATCGCTCGCCAACTGCTGCACCATCGACTGGTTCAGCGAGTGGCCGCACAGCGCACTGGCCGCCGTGGCTAGCAGCCACCTCACGGAGACGGAGGCCGGCGTGTTGGCGGGCGACTCGCAGGCGCTGGTGAGTGAGTGGTGGTGGTGGTCGTGAGTGAGTGAGTGGTGGGCTTCAGTGGGTGGTGAGTGAGTGGTGGGTGGTGGTGAGTGGTGGTGAGTGGTGGGTGGTGGTCGTGAGTGAATGGTGGGCTTCAGTGAGTGGTGAGTGAGTGGTGGGTGGTGGTGGTGGTCGTGAGTGAGTGGTGGTGGTGAGTGAGTGAGTGGTGGTGGTGGTCGTGAGTGAGTGAGTGAGTGGTGGGCTTCAGTGAGTGGTGAGTGAGTGGTGGGTGGTGGTGAGTGATGAGTGGTGAGTGAGTGAGTGAGTGGTGGGCTTCAGTGAGTGGTGAGTGAGTGGTGGGTGGTGGTGAGTGAGTGAGTGGTGGTGGTGGTGGTGGTCGTGAGTGAGTGAGTGAGTGGTGGGCTTCAGTGGGTGGTGAGTGAGTGGTGGGTGGTGGTGAGTGATGAGTGGTGAGTGAGTGAGTGAGTGGTGGGCTTCAGTGAGTGGTGAGTGAGTGGTGGGTGGTGGTGAGTGAGTGAGTGGTGGTGGTGGTGGTGGTCGTGAGTGAGTGAGTGAGTGGTGGGCTTCAGTGGGTGGTGAGTGAGTGGTGGGTGGTGGTCGTGAGTGAGTGAGTGAGTGGTGGTCGTGAGTGAGTGAGTGAGTGGTGGGCTTCAGTGAGTGGTGAGTGAGTGAGTGGTGGTGGTCGTGAGTGAGTGAGTGGTGGTGGTCGTGAGTGAGTGAGTGGTGGTGGTCGTGAGTGAGTGAGTGAGTGGTGGTCGTGAGTGAGTGAGTGAGTGGTGGGCTTCAGTGAGTGGTGAGTGGTGGTGGTCGTGAGTGAGTGGTGGTGGTGGTCGTGAGTGAGTGAGTGAGTGGTGGTCGTGAGTGAGTGAGTGAGTGGTGGGCTTCAGTGAGTGGTGAGTGAGTGAGTGGTGGTGGTCGTGAGTGAGTGAGTGGTGGGCTTCAGTGAGTGGTGAGTGAGTGGTGGGTGGTGGTGAGTGAGTGAGTGGTGGTGGTGGTGGTGGTCGTGAGTGAGTGAGTGAGTGGTGGGCTTCAGTGGGTGGTGAGTGAGTGGTGGGTGGTGGTGAGTGATGAGTGGTGAGTGAGTGAGTGAGTGGTGGGCTTCAGTGAGTGGTGAGTGAGTGGTGGGTGGTGGTGAGTGAGTGAGTGGTGGTGGTGGTGGTGGTCGTGAGTGAGTGAGTGAGTGGTGGGCTTCAGTGGGTGGTGAGTGAGTGGTGGGTGGTGGTCGTGAGTGAGTGAGTGAGTGGTGGTCGTGAGTGAGTGAGTGAGTGGTGGGCTTCAGTGAGTGGTGAGTGAGTGAGTGGTGGTGGTCGTGAGTGAGTGAGTGGTGGTGGTCGTGAGTGAGTGAGTGGTGGTGGTCGTGAGTGAGTGAGTGAGTGGTGGTCGTGAGTGAGTGAGTGAGTGGTGGGCTTCAGTGAGTGGTGAGTGGTGGTGGTCGTGAGTGAGTGGTGGTGGTGGTCGTGAGTGAGTGAGTGAGTGGTGGTCGTGAGTGAGTGAGTGAGTGGTGGGCTTCAGTGAGTGGTGAGTGAGTGAGTGGTGGTGGTCGTGAGTGAGTGAGTGGTGGTGGTCGTGAGTGAGTGAGTGGTGGTGGTCGTGAGTGAGTGAGTGAGTGGTGGTCGTGAGTGAGTGAGTGAGTGGTGGGCTTCAGTGAGTGGTGAGTGGTGGTGGTCGTGAGTGAGTGAGTGGTGGTGGTCGTGAGTGAGTGAGTGAGTGGTGGTCGTGAGTGAGTGAGTGAGTGGTGGGCTTCAGTGAGTGGTGAGTGAGTGAGTGGTGGTGGTCGTGAGTGAGTGAGTGGTGGTGGTCGTGAGTGAGTGAGTGGTGGTGGTCGTGAGTGAGTGAGTGAGTGGTGGTCGTGAGTGAGTGAGTGAGTGGTGGGCTTCAGTGAGTGGTGAGTGGTGGTGGTCGTGAGTGAGTGAGTGGTGGTGGTCGTGAGTGAGTGAGTGAGTGGTGGTCGTGAGTGAGTGAGTGAGTGGTGGGCTTCAGTGAGTGGTGAGTGAGTGAGTGGTGGTGGTCGTGAGTGAGTGAGTGGTGGTGGTCGTGAGTGAGTGAGTGGTGGTGGTCGTGAGTGAGTGAGTGAGTGGTGGTCGTGAGTGAGTGAGTGAGTGGTGGGCTTCAGTGAGTGGTGAGTGGTGGTGGTCGTGAGTGAGTGGTGGTGGTGGTCGTGAGTGAGTGAGTGAGTGGTGGTCGTGAGTGAGTGAGTGAGTGGTGGGCTTCAGTGGGTGGTGGGCTTCAGTGAGTGGTGAGTGAGTGGTGGGTGGTGAGTGAGTGAGTGAGTGGTGAGTGGTGGTCGTGAGTGAGTGAGTGAGTGGTGGGCTTCAGTGAGTGGTGGGTGGTGGTGAGTGGTGAGTGAGTGAGTGAGTGGTGGGCTTCAGTGGGTGGTGGGTGAGTGGTGGGTGGTGGTGAGTGGTGGGTGGTGAGTGAGTGAGTGAGTGGTGGGCTTCAGTGAGTGGTGAGTGAGTGGTGGGTGAGTGGTGGGTGGTGGTGAGTGGTGGTGGTCGTGAGTGAGTGGTGGGCTTCAGTGAGTGGTGAGTGAGTGGTGAGTGAGTGGTGAGTGGTGGTGAGTGGTGGGTGGTGGTCGTGAGTGAGTGAGTGGTGGGCTTCAGTGAGTGGTGGGTGAGTGGTGGGTGGTGGTGGGTGGTGAGTGGTGAGTGAGTGAGTGAGTGGTGGGCTTCAGTGGGTGGTGGGTGAGTGGTGGGTGGTGATGAGTGGTGGTCGTGAGTGAGTGAGTGAGTGGTGGGCTTCAGTGAGTGGTGAGTGGGTGGTGAGTGAGTGGTGGGCTTCAGTGAGTGGTGAGTGAGTGGTGGGTGAGTGGTGGGTGGTGGTGAGTGGTGAGTGGTGGTCGTGAGTGAGTGAGTGAGTGGTGGGCTTCAGTGAGTGGTGAGTGGGTGGTGAGTGAGTGGTGGGCTTCAGTGAGTGGTGAGTGAGTGGTGGCTAAGTGGTGGGTGGTGGTGAGTGGTGAGTGGTGGTCGTGAGTGAGTGGTGGGCTTCAGTGAGTGGTGAGTGAGTGGTGGGTGGTGGTGGGTGGTGAGTGGTGAGTGAGTGAGTGGTGGGCTTCAGTGAGTGAGTGGTGAGTGAGTGGTGGGCTTCAGTGGGTGGTGAGCGAGTGGTGAGTGAGTGGTGGGTGGTGGTGAGTGGTGGTGGTGAGTGAGTGGTGGGTGGTGATCGTGAGTGAGTGGTGGTGGTGGGCTTCAGTGAGTGGTGAGTGAGTGGTGAGTGAGTGGTGGGCTTCAGTGGGTGGTGAGTGAGTGGTGGGTGAGTGGTGGGTGGTGGTGAGTGGTGGGTGGTGGTCGTGAGTGAGTGAGTGAGTGGTGGGCTTCAGTGAGTGGTGAGTGGTGGTGGTCGTGAGTGAGTGAGTGGTGGGCTTCAGTGGGTGGTGAGCGAGTGGTGAGTGAGTGAGTGGTGGTGGTGAGTGAGTGGTGGTGGTGAGTGAGTGAGTGGTGGGCTTCATTGAGTGGTAAGCGAGTGGTGAGTGAGTGGTGGGTGAGTGGTGAGTGAGTGGTGATTGGGTGAGTGAGTGGTAGGTGGTGGTCTTCAGTGAGTGGTAAGCGAGTGGTGAGTGAGTGGTGAGTGAGTGGTGATTGGGTGAGTGAGTGATGGTGAGTGAGTGGTGATTGGGTGAGTGAGTGGTGAGTGGTGATTGGGTGAGTGAGTGGTGAGTGAGTGGTCTTCAGTGAGTGGTTAGCGAGTGGTGAGTGAGTGGTGGTGGTGGTGAGTGAGTGGTGGGTGGTGGTGAGTGAGTGATGGTGAGTGAGTGGTGATTGGGTGAGTGAGTGGTGAGTGGTGATTGCGTGAGTGAGTGGTGAGTGAGTGGTCTTCAGTGAGTGGTTAGCGAGTGGTTGGTGAGTGGTGATTGGGTGAGTGAGTGGTGGGTGGTGGTCGTGAGTGAGTGGTGATGCGTGTCGTGAGTGTGGTGAGTGGTGGCGAGTGGGGTGGTGAGTGTGGCGAGTGGGGTGGTGAGTGTGGTGAGTGGTCGTGAGTGGGGTGGTGAGTGTGGTGAGTGGTGGCGAGTGTGGTGGTGAGTGTGGTGGGTGGTGGTGCTGGCGAGTGCGGTGGCGATGGAGGTGTAGGTGTTGCAGTGGGTTTAACCTAAACACAGGATAACGACGTAGGTGGTAACTAGCGCGGTTATCCAGACGTCAAGAGGGTAACTACATCACTGGGTCAGGTCAGCAGCACACTGCCTGACCCATGATGGCAAAGCGCGAAGACGTCGCACCGCTGGTTGATTCCAGAAGACAGCCACAATCACTCTCGGGACCTCTCTTTTACTCTCCCGAGCACGTGGCCACGCCCCCTTCTGGGTCTTGCCAGGAGGGGGGCGTGGCCTCGCTCCGCCTTCGGCCACGCCCACTCCTGGATCTTGCCAGGAGGGGGCGTGGCCTCGCTTCGCCTTCGGCCACGCCCCCCCTCCTGGATCTTACCAGGAGGGGGGGCGTGGCCTCGCTCCGCCTTCGACCACGCCCCCTCCTGGATCTTGCCAGGAGGGGGCGTGGCCTCACTCCGCCTTCGGCCACGCCCCCTCTTGGATCTTACCAGGAGGGGGCGTGGCCTCGCTCCGCCTTCGGCCACGCCCCCTCCTGGATCTTACCAGGAGGGGGCGTGGCCTCGCTCCGCCTTCGGCCACGCCCCCTCCTGGATCTTACCAATAGGGGGGCGTGGCCTCGCCCCCTCCTGGATCTTAACAGGAGGAGGCGTGGCCTCGCTCCGCCTTTGGCCACGCCCCCTCCTGGAACTTACCAGGAGGGGGCGTGGCCTCGCTCCGCCTTCGGCCACGCCCCCTCCTGGATCTTACCAGGAGGGGGGCGTGGTCTCGCTCTGCCTTCGGCCACGCCCCCTCCTGGATCTTGCCAGGAGGGGGGCATAGCCTCGCTCCGCCTTCGGCCACGCCCACTCCTGGATCTTACCAGGAGGGGGGCGTGGCCTCGCTCCGCCTTCGGCCACGCCCCCCCTCCTGGATCTTACCAGGAGGGGGGCGTGGCCTCGCTCCGCCTTCGGTCACGCCCCCTCCTGGATCTTACCAGGAGGGGGGGCGTGGCCTCGCTCCGCCTTCGACCACGCCCCCCCTCCTGGATCTTACCAGAAAGGTTCTCGACCGAGCACCACGTGTCCCTCAAGCACCCCCTTGGGGGGGCCCCCTCGCTACTCTGTCCCGGCCACGTTGCCTCTCGGGGGTCGCCCAGACTGCCACGTCCTCACCTTACCGTCTCCCTGACCGTCGCCAGCACCATGCCCCCCCCAATCTTCAGGAACCCTACAGAAGATTCCCGGCTGCACTTCCCGTGCGTGTCCCCTCGGCCACCTGTTCCCCTCCCCGACTCCTCACCCCGGCCCATCACGTGACTCATCACGTGACTCATCACGTGATGAGTCACGTGACTCGTCCTCACACGCCTCCCCCCCATCCACCGTGCTCGCCCACGTGACCAAGTATGTGGCATTACGTTTCGATTTAAAGCTTTCGTGGCTGCAGGCTATTCACATTCTTGGTTCTTTGGGTAAAGTCACCGCCACGTAGAAGGGAAACAATAAAATAATAAAACTATAAAACAATAAAATTATTATTCTTGGTTCTTTCGGTAAAGTCACCGCCACGTAGAAGGGAAACAATGAAATGATAAAACTATAAAACAATAAAATTATTATTCTTGGTTCTTTCGGTAAAGTCACCACCACGTAGAAGGGAAACAATAAAATGATAAAAATATAAAACAATACAATTATTGTAAAACAATAACATTATTATTCTTGGTTCTTTCAGTAAAGTCACCGCCACGTAGAAGGGAAACAATAAAATAATAAAAATATAAAACAATAAAATTATTGTAAAACAATAACATTATTATTCTTGGTTCTTTCGGTAAAGTCACCACCACGTTAGAAGGGAAACAATAAAATAATAGAAATATAAAACAATAAAATTATTATTCTTGGTTCTTTCGGTAAAGTCACCGCCACGTTAGAAGGGAAACAATAAAATAATAAAAATATTATTCTTGGTTCTTTCGGGTAAAGTCACCACCACGTAGAAGGGAAACAATAAAATAATAAAAATATAAAACAATAAAATTCTCGCGACGTTTCGACTGTAACACAAGAAGAAATCGTCATCAGGTGTGAAAACCACGGCAAGAACATGTGAAAGAAGTGGCGTTTTTTTTTAAAACGTTAGCACCACGGAGAGCGATTTGACAGTTTGTTCAGATGGACGAGTCCATCTATGTTCGGAAAAGCGGAGGGGTGAGACGAAAAATAATGGACGCGGTCCGAAAGCCACCGTAAGCGTGAACAATCAATTAAGACCCGCAAATGGTTTATCAAATCCTTCCAATGATTGCTAAGCCAGAATCCATCTTCTCGGTTCGAAATTGTCTCCGTGCTTGTATATGTGGATAGCCTCATGAACGAATCTCTCACGGTAGCCAGATGGCTTGCAAAGAACCTCTGTCTTGGAGAAGTCAATGTCATGTGAGCCTACTGAATTATAACAATGATCTGCCACGGCCGAGGTGTTGGTCCTACCGTGTTTAAGGTCTGCTTTGTGTCCACGAATGCGGCCCGAGACATGTCGTTTGGCTTCTCCAATGTGTATTTACTACCACAGAGGCGACTTAGTTTGCAGACGCCAGGCTACTGTATGTCCGGAATCACAACTTTTTACAGACGGAACCGGATCACGGATTGTATGTAATGCGTTGAATGGGACCTGGATCTTGCGTGTGCTAGCACCCGGTAACCACGCCTCTAGTGGCCCACTGTGTGGTACTGCACGGAGTACTCGCCTCTGCACCCACACCCCCCGTGTCTTACAGCACTTAGCGCAACGCCCTGTAGTGATCCATTTTACATCGCTGAAAAATCTCTCGAAGGACCTGGACACGGTCCCATCGGTGAGCTCCTCCGGCGGGCAAGGCTGCAGTTGGCTGGGTCATGTAGCCCGCATGCCCAGCCACCGCATGCCCGAAACAGCTTTTGTTCGGCCGGATCGAGGGGGCTAAACGGGCGCGGCACGGGCTAGAGAAGAGATGGAGTGATGTGGTACAGGAGGACGTGGAGCTGAGTGGACTTGCCGATCGGCCTCTGTGGAGGAGGCTCGTGAAGGACGCTACTGGGCAGTTGGAGGTAGTCGCCCTCCAACAACAACGGAGGGCGGAGGAGCGACGCTCACAACAACGAGCGGAGCGCCGGGTGGGCTAAAGCACAGCAGGCTGACACAGTAGGGGGCACAGGTGGTGCATCAGCCAGTCATCTCAGTCAGTCGACCCGTGGCACCTGGGTCTGCCCCGTGACCTCCTGCCAGCGGGCGCTCGACACTTCACGTGGCCTCAGGGTGCACATAGCCTGGCACAAGCGTCGTGGTGACGTCACCGCCACTTAGTGGCGAATGGCGGTTGTTGTTGTTGTTGTATCTGTGTGTGTATATCTGTGTGTCTCTGTGTGTAGGTGCATGCGTGCGTGCGTATGCACCAGTCTCTGAGCGAGGCGTCCCTGCTGTTCCTGTGTGTGTGTGTAACACGTGTGTCTCTGTGTGTATCTGTGTGTGTGTGTAACAGTGTGTGTGTGTGTATCTGTGTGTATCTGTGTCTCTGTGTGTGTGTGTAGGTGGATGCGTGCGTGCGTATGCACCAGTCTCTGAGCGAGGCGTCCCTGCTGTTCCTGTGTGTGTCTCTGTGTGTGTGTCTGTGTGTGTGTAACAGTGTGTGTATGTGTGTGTGTAACAGTGTGTGTCTCTGTGTATCTGTGTGTGTGTATCTCTGTGTGTGTAACAGTGTGTGTATGTGTGTGTGTGTAACAGTGTGTGTCTCTGTGTATCTGTGTGTGTGTATCTGTGTGTGTGTAACAGTGTGTGTATCTGTGTGTGTATATCTGTGTGTCTCTGTGTGTAGGTGCATGCGTGCGTGCGTATGCACCAGTCTCTGAGCGAGGCGTCCCTGCTGTTCCTGTGTGTGTGTGTAACAGTGTATGTCTCTGTGTGTATCTGTGTGTGTGTGTAACAGTGTGTGTCTCTGTGTGTATCTGTGTGTAACAGTGTATCTGTGTCTCTGTGTGTAGGTGCATGCGTGCGTGCGTATGCACCAGTCTCTGAGCGAGGCGTCCCTGCTGTTCCTGTGTGTGTATCTGTGTGTTTATCTGTGTGTGTGTCTGTGTGTGTGTATCTGTGCCTCTGTGTGTGTGTGTAGGTGCATGCGTGCGTGCGTATGCACCAGTCTCTGAGCGAGGCGTCCCTGCGTCTCCGCGCCCAGCCGGACCGTGGTGCCGGCGGCAGCGGCGTGACGCCCACTGCCTTCCTGGAGCTGCTGGGCACCTTCAGGCGCCTGCTGGCGCTCAAGAGCGGCGACATCCGTGGGGCACGCGCACGCATGCAGGGTGGCCTGGATAAG